CTACTCAGAATTTCTTATTCCCTCAGAGTTTAGCTGCATACCTTACCATACCCAAGCGGACTGTAATTTCCCTGGCAACAATATATTATTTCTTGCTGTAATGTATTTGGGATTATAATGTATTCTGGTCTTTAACAGATAATTAATCCCATTGCTTTTGTGAAAGGCCTACTACTGGCTGATGAAAAGTCCTAGAATTGTTTGTTTGTTGTTGTTGTTGTGTGCTCAGAGTGAGTCTAGATGCCTTTTCAAGGATCCCTTGTAACTCAGTGCCTTTGATCACCAAGAGATTCAGGTTTCCACCTTTCCCCTACATCCTGTAGCTCTTGACTTGGTAGTTCTTGTTCTGCCTGGATTAGTGGCTTTTGTTCTACCAGGCCTGAGGTGTAGCAGGAAATCAGGCTAGAGAATTTGACTAGATGAGGAAGAAGAGAGTGGATTTAGAGTCCCCCTAGAAAAAATTCCTAGGCAGTCAAGTGGAAGCCAGAGTTCTGCTTCATTTTGGACTCAGTGTAAACAAGGAAGGAAGGAGGGAAGGAAATACCACAGGCCTCCAGGATCCTCCTTCTCAAGAGAGCCCTTAAAATTCCTCACCTCTCACGAGAGGGGCACAGGAGCCCCTCAGAATCTCCTTGAGTTTGTGGCTGTAGGGATTTTCTCCACTCTTTACCTTCCAGTCTGTCTTCTAACCATCATGCCAAACCCAAACAACAACTGAGAGCAGCTATTAGCATAATCCACGGTGCAGAGCTAGGAAATGTTTCTCTGTGACTCAACCTTTCTGCCATTCCAAATTCATCCACCCACCCACCCATCCATTCATAAAGCATTTATAGTCCACCTTTCAACAAAGTTCCTGGATTTAGATATAATTATAAATTCAGTCAGCAATGGTCCTCGTAGAGACAATGAGCTCATTAATCTGTGAGGTTGTTTTAGTTCATCAATAAACTACAGAGCAAAATGACAATAATACACTTACAATCTTCCCGTTGCTGGAACCCCATCGAAAATGACCGTGGATAGACTCCTATAAATGGCCAAACACGGAGCACCTTCCGTGGACTAGGTCTATGCTGAGGTTCGCCACTGGGAATATTCCTGGGTTTATGGATACCATACTGCTCACATATAATTCCACTCGTGTTTTGATTAGCATTCAGTGACTTTGACAATATTTATCTATCCTTGAAGAGTCACGGAAAAGGTGAAGATGTATCGATAGTCTTAGCATGTAGCAAGCAACCAGCACAGATAATTATGAGATCATCTCAGATTCTTCCTTAACAGGTGGTCACAAAGGAGTCCTTGAGATTCCACAAAGGACTATCTTAAGATAAATGATAAAGTCCCATGTCATACCATCTCAGACAGATAGTGTTGGGAAAATTCAGATAAATCTTTATAGAAAAAGGTTGGTTATATGTGCCTTTGTGTTAAAAAATCAAACCTGCAATGTCCCTGCCTCTCTCTCTCTCTCTCTCTCTCTCTCAGAAAGAACCAGAATTCCAAGCCAGGCTTCTGCTACATTAAGAGACTGGAACTCTCAGCTCTCCTGAGAGCCTGCTACATTTAATTGCAAAAGTGTTTGCCTAAGGGGGACTCCCAAGGAAAGTTAACCCTTGTCTATTCTTGTGCTAACAGCAACAAAACTGATAAGGTGGCCAGCCAGGTTTTCCTAGCAGTATTACAACCACCCTAATTTACATGTTCAAACGCACAGCCAAGACCAACAATAATCCTCTCTTCCTGATTGACATAAGAAATTTCCTGTAATCAACGCTATTGTATTGAGTTCCTTCTGCAGCCTCTTCACATTATTTTGTTCATGAATGGGCTAGTATGTAACCATTATTTGCTCACCATCTGCCCTGCTGCTGTGTACATGACAAAGAACCTATAAAACACTCTGTATATGTTCTAAAACTTTGTAGCTGGCTGTGAGGGCTGCTGCCTGGGAGCATGCTCTTGTCAGTTACTGCAGGGGACTGGGTTGTCTCTCCAATAAACTGCTGAAGTTCAAGACAATTAGGCCTTCCCTGCGGATCTCAGTGTTCATTCCTCACAACTGGAATTCGAAGACTCCGGCAGAAGCTAACTCTTACTCAAACAAGAATAAAAAGAAAAAGCAAAGCTGGGTACTTAAATACCCCAAGTCCAAAAAAAGTATCAAAGGAACACCACTAAGTCCTCAAGATTACAACAGTCTTCTGCATCTCCACTGCAGGGTGACATACAGACTGGGTGGCACAAGCACAATGGCGATATATTCTAAGGTAGAGATTTTTTTCACCCTGAGAACCAAAGGCCATTCCTGAGAAACTCCGGGCTGAATTTCAGTGGGATGCAGGACTGAGCGTGCAAGTCCCACTGTGGCATTGTTGAGTCATGCAAACCCATGGTCCGTTTGAGGCTTATGTGACGGTCCTTTAACCTGCACATAGTCCATATTTGCTGGGTTTACACAACAGGACAAGCCCCAGTTGAGGGTTGTATCCGCAAACTGGCACCTGGACCTGGTCAGTCCCACAGAATCGGAAATCATCAGCAAATATGAGGATACAGATTTGTACAACATTTGCAAGATGCAGATTTAGAAAGAACTGCTATAATTTCAAGAGAAACACAATACATTGCTTCTTAGTGAGGACAATTGTGACCAGCTGAATGGTGTGCCTATTTATTTTTTATTTTTTGCTGCTGGACCACTTCAAAGCCCCTGCTGGCTCTCCCCTCTTACAATGCTTTGTTAGGCTGGAACTGGGCTGGACGGCCCTTCACATGGAGGACTCCCCTTTCTAAAGTAGGACACAGGCCCACCCACACTGCTGAAGGGACTGAAGTCACGTTCCTTTGTTCTCTCTGCGTTAGCAAGTGGCACGATCCAGAATGTCATCTGTTGGCCAAGGGGAACCTACCACACAGCGGCCACATGGATCTAACATGTGGGTGCCTGGGAGAATCTGCAGATTATAAAGTCAGAACGTCCTGATTCCCATGATATCCTCCTCTTGGTTATAAAATGCCAAAGTACGAGATGCGATCCAGGTCTTAGTTCAGCCTGCCAAGAACCTCATAGCTGGGGCTTCTTACACACAGGGGTTCAACCATGGAGGGCATCTGGGCAGCATGGGAAAGCAAGGGCCGCAACCAGGGGGCAGGTCCCCATGGAACCCAGGGAGGGAGGCCTGGCTTCAGCGTCAGCATGCCCGGGGTCACGCTAAACATAGACACGTTTGTTAACAGAAGTGAATGTCCATTCATTAGGACCAAGCAAGTCCCACAGTGTGGCTCTGTGTTTTTCTTGCAGCTGCAGTGTTAATTTCCTCCCCCTGAGTCTATTTTAGGCCCCAGAAATATCTACAGGTTTCTATATCTGGAGTGTGGAAATCCCTGGAGAATGTTAAAAAGCCACGTCTTTACTGTCACTCTTAGTGCACCAGGAAAGACCAACTGATATCCAGAGCAGCACTGCCGGTGGGGCTGACTAGGGCATCCATGCCCCCTCCGCTTTCTTCGGTGTTATGTTGAGACCGGGTCTTGTCCTTCCCTCTAGAAGTGAACTCAGTGCCTCTGTCAGCAGCATTTGACAGGATCATGGAGAAACAAGAGGCGAGCACCAACCCGTGTGGATACATCCCGAGTTTTACGGGAGTAGTACAACTGCTCCCAAGAGTGCTCAGCAGTTACCAAGAGCCTTGGCATTTTGAACATCAGTTGGAAAAGAGAAATGGAAACATGTACTGACTGATGCGGTAGTCTTATCCTTATGGTAATTTTCTGTGTACATGCATGTGTCTGTTGGTGGGGGTGTGGCAGTTTGCACTGGCCATCCTTGTCGAACACATGCAGGTGCACAAATGTTGTTATCTATCCCTTGCACATCCAGAGTGCACCCATCACACTGTGCCCGCACTTTGAGAACCACAGGCCTGGGAGGCAGCATAAAGACAATCTAGTTGAACCCTCTGAGGATGGAATTGCTGGTACAGTGTCCCTGGCTTCTAATGAATGAAGATCTATCCTCTTTGTGGCCAGTGGGCCTGTTCACACGTCACTGGCAAACCGCAGCAAATTCCACTGGGGGATCTTGTGCTGCATGCCAGCTGCTGTTTTGCATAAGCAAGCCATGGCGAGGCCGGGGGGGGGGGTGCTGCAGCTTGTCGCAATAGATTTGAAACACAGCATGCCTTTCCTTCCCCGTGAAAAGCATGCATTTCAGACTCTCCTCTTTTTGTTTCTGTATCTGAATTCTTCTATTATATCTAAGCTCCACCTTTCTTCCTCTTAATCTTCTCCATTTTCTCTTCAAAATAATCCCGTAAGGTAGGTAGCTGAGAGTCCATGACTGGCTCCAGTTCACATGGCCAAGTGGGGTTCAGCCCTCAGCTTCCCTGGCGCCCAGTCGGGCACTCGATCCAGTGCACCCTGCCGGCTCTCACTGGCTGCAGGTCTTTCTTATATTTTGGAATCTTTTAAACTGCTGAACAGTCAAACACTGTTCCCACTGAACAATTACAAAATGCCCAGTCCTCTCCCCTCATAGGTTTATATACATGAACATATAATATTAGATATATTTGTTAAGTGATTACATTGCCCCAACACAGTACAATTTGTGAGCATTTTACTGTTTTTGCTGCTGTCGTTCCAATTGCTTCCTTCCATGGCCCATGTCAATAGACAACAAACATAACGCAACACTGTTATGAGAACTTGCTTTCAACCACTTGAAGCGCTAGATGGGCAAGCACACCCTTGAACGCTCTGCATTGTACTTTTGGGGTCCTCTGACCTGGGGAGATGAACTATGAAGATCATGGGGTGCCTCATCATCTCTTTATATGAACACTGATCGCAGAACCATGAGAAGGGAAACGGAAAGCATGGAGCACACATGCCAATTGTTTGAGAAACTTTATTGGGGCTATCTTGAAGAACTTGTTCTCTCTTCTGTGTGTTTAAAAAGTGTAATTATAACACTTTCAGAACAAGTTTGCATGCAATTATCTGTTTCAGGTGGCGTGAGTGCTGCTGTAGGTTATCCACTAGACACAATAAAGGTATGTAAAGGTTTATGTCTTTACAGCACTATCAGAACAATCCAACCGCATCTCAGGGAAAACTGGAGAGCCCTGTTTTCTCCTGGCTTCGGATGAGTGTATGTGGAGTGGCGGAAGGGTCTAATTGCTGCAATGGTGCCCCAAGCAAATGGCTTTTAAACTAGGAGAGATCTAGTTTGCCAGACAGTTTTCCAGGACCTGCTGCTTCCCCCATTTAGCCCATTACTATTTTTACAATGTTTTTATTATAGAATGTCAACCAAGAAAAACCATGGCAAGGGAAACAAAAGCAAAACGTAGCTACATAGATTAGAATATACTGGTGTCAAAACATGCATATGGGGTGTGTGTATGAAAATACTGGTTTCTAAGAATTAGAGAAGATTTGAACAAAGGCAAACCAAATATCCATATTTATATATTTCATTTTTATACTGTTCAATAGCTAAGACTCTCTGGGTGGCTGAGAAATGTAAAAAACACATACACAAACACACCTAGCGACTGCAGTTGAATCAGCACAGAAGCATAGCAGCAGTACAGAATAAAATGCAATATTACAAAATGAAGGAAAAGATAAAACTGCTACAATGCTGGGGGAATAAAAAGATCTTCACCCGGTGCTGAAAAGAATACAAAGTAGGTGCCAGGCATACTTCTTTGGGAACTTTTTCCACAATTGGGGTGCCACAACCAAGAAGGCCCTCCCACTGGCAGCCAGCCACCTCACTTCCTTTGGAAGGGCTAAAATGTATTATGCAATATATTATATGACCATACCATGCAATAAAATTTGAGAGTGCCATTAAAATTAAACACTGAAAAACTCCATAAAGTAGCTTTATGTAGTTGTGCAGCATTAGCCTGACAGAGCGGAACAGTCTCTATGGCTTTACTGCAAAAGAAAGAATGATCCAAGACCAGTTTGGAGATGGATTGACTCCAAAAATGAAGCCACAGCCTTCAGTTGACAAAAGGTGAACAGGGTTGGCCAGGCCAGGACATCTCAGGGGGGGCTTCTATTCAAAGAGTATCCATAAGTCAGAGACAAATGGACAGCACCAACAGCACTGCTGCCTCCCTTGGAGAGGGCACCATGGTCAGAGAGCTACTACCGAAAAGGCCCTGTTTCAAGTAGCCATTGACCAAGCCTCTCTGCAGAGTGGAATGTCTATAACAAGGTCTTCCATGATGCATACAAATTATGTGCAGATTCATAGGAAAAGAAGGTCCTCTTTTTCCTTCTCCTTTTACAAAGTTTTCTCCCTAATTTACATTGTACCCCAATATTCATGTTGTAAGCCGCCCCGAGGTTTCGGCAAGGGGCGGCATAGAAATGTTATAATAATAATAATAATAATAATAATAATAATAATAATAATAATTCATTTTCTCATTCTCTATAAGCATAATACGATTTTAAAATAAAATGCCAGCAGTTATTTCCCCCCCCAAAAGTTGCTGAATATGATGGACTGTTTCAACAGGTGAGAATTCAGACAGAAGCAAGCTACCGTGGAATATGGCACTGTATCACAGACACATACAGAATGGAAAGGGTACGTATGGCCAGATATCAGCCGACCAAAGGCCAACACCCGGCACAATTCCACACGTTGTATCTGGTTCACTTGCCTCCTGTGGTCTGTGAACGTCAATGCTGTTTGTGCCCAGGATAAGCAGAAACCACAAGGAGAACCTGCCATTTGGGATGTGGTCAAACAGCTCACACTGAGGACAAGATGGTTCAAATAAAGTATTTTTCTCATTTCACCAGTTCTGTGGGTCAACACACCTGCATTCACCAAGTGGCTCTTCGCTGTGGTGTATGTATTACCACACAGGGAACCTGTAATGGAAAAGTGTCCCACTACCACAGTCAGGAAAAAATTAGCACCCCAGTTTTCCTGGTTTTCTGATTTGTGTGTGGAAGTGTGGAAAATTCTCCTCCTACTTTGGTGAGGAACACAGAGAGCTGGTTCCCCATGTTATCACCACATGGGCACCAGGGTTGGTAAGGAGTCACCGTTAATTAGCTCACTGATATATTAAATAATAAATATATAAGAACAAGTAAATATGTAATATAATAAACCCATAGAAAAGTAGACTGACTTTGGTTCCATATTGTGTATAATTAAAAACTTCAAGCTTCTTATTCTGCTTTAAAAAGGCATTTCCCTCACTTTTCTATTCAAACAGGTGCCAGGTTTCTACCGAGGTGTATCAATGACTATCGTAATGACATCCTTTATTTCATCATTTTCATTTGGCGTCTACAAAAACATCCTTTATAACATCTGCAGATTACGATATGGGTCTGCAGAGAGAAAGCCGTCAAGAGTGGATATATCTCTTGCTGGATGTGCTACTGGAGCTGCTCGGGTAACAATATCAATATCAATACTGAAACATAGAAACAGAGCAAGTCAGAAGGGGTCTCCCGGGCCATCTAGTCTGACCCTCGGCTTCAGCCGACTCCGCTCACGACATGCCCATCCTGTGCAGGTCTAGCCTATCCTTGAACACCCTCACCAATGGGGCTTCAACCACCTCCTGTGGAAGCCCATTCCATACCCTCGGGGTCCTAACTGTCAGGAAGTGCATCCAAATTGGACCTTGGTTCCCTGAGCTTGGCTCCATTGAAGCGCATCCTGCCCTCTTCTGCAGGGGAAAACAGGCCTCTACCCACCTCTGTGTGACACCCCCTCAACCAATCAACCCATCGGGTGTTTGAAAGCTACTGCTCATCACTACTTCATAAAAGCAGTGAGAAAAACCCCCAAGCCCATTGGTGCTTTTGTCACGTTCAGAACCCGAAAACTCAAGTGGCATAGTGGTTAGAGCGTTGCACCTGGACTCAGGAGATCCAGGTTCAAGTCCCCACTCAGCCATGAAGCTCACTGGATTCCTGAGTTGGGCAAGTCACAGACTCTTGGCCTACCTACCTCACAGGGTTGTTAGGAAGGGCACAAGAGGAGGACTAGGCAAATTGCCTAAGGGCCACTGCTAGAGGGAAAAAATAAAGACATAATTGTAATGACAGCAACGTAATAATAATTGCTGGGCACAGGACTGAGGGATTGAGGGAAGGGTGACAACACATGGGGAGGTGAGTTCATAAACTAAATGCCTAGACAGAAAAAGGTCTACAGCTCCACCTATGCAGGCTGGGGATGCTGGGAGTTGCAGGCTCTTTCATGCCTAGGACTGTGGAGGCCTGACTCCAGATTCCCCACGGTTTCTCCCAGGTCGTGCTGATATCCCCTGCGGAGATCGCCAAGGTGAGGCTGCAGACCCAGAAAGAGCCATCGTGCGTCCTCTTCACCAGGCCGAAGTACCGAGGCGCCGTGCACTGCCTGCAGATGATTGCGAAGGAAGAGGGGCTCAGGGGCCTGTACAAGGGGTCCTTGGCCCTCCTGTGTCGCGACTGCCACTCCGTTGCGACCTATTTCCTCAGCTATTCTGCCCTGTGTGACTGGCTGACTCCAGCCGGGAAGGAGAAACCAGGTATGTGCTTTGAGTGGGAGCGGCCCATGCAGAACGGACCCGCTTTGCCCCCTGCCCGGCAGGTGGGTGGACATTCGTTTCTCTCCTGCTCTGCAGCAGACTTGCAGTATTTATTGGCCTTCCTGGTAGCTGCAAAAATATAAGGCAAGACCTATTAAAAATGCGAGGAGGAGACAGTTTACTCGGGCCTCTGGCTTAGGGGCTCCCTTGCAGGCACGGGCAGGCTCCGCATCGGGTCTGGGTCACATGCTGCTCTTCAGCTGTGCAAGGGGCAGCTCGGGTTAGCTCCTTGGGATAAAACCACCTTGATTACATTCCAGGTGACGGGCAATTGTAACCAGAAACAGTCCTAATTTTACTTGTGAACTGACTGGGGTAGTTTGGCATATGTGAAGAAGCTGAAAAATAGCATCTTACAAAAAAGTAAGATGCATCCCATTCCTGTTGCCCCCCCCCCCCTACATCTCCCCTGCCCCCCAGTTATCTTTGCAGTATGGTGCCAGTTCAAAGAGACGAGACATTGCTTTCCTCACTGAGTAACAGAAGGAATCCTCCCGTGCACAATGCCCTGCCTGCTAAGTGTGCCGCCACTTGGCACTGATGCGAAAAGGCTGCCCTGGGACATAGTGAAGGCTGGATATAAACAAACATAAAAGCAAAAATGAGAGGAAATGCATTGCCAACAAAGAGGAACGAAGAAAATGCAGACTCGCATAAAACACGCTGATGCTAATTCATAAGCACAGAAGCAGCATTAGAAATAATTGCAGTACTTAAAATAGGCAGATAGTGGGAACCACCCAGAGCAGGAAGATCATGACCAGCTGATCTGTGTACCTGCTAAGTCTGTTCTTCAGGATCCAACTGCTCATTGAGGGGCATCAGTAATTACTGATGGGAGCCAGCGTGGCATAGTGGTTAGCGTGTTGGACTGGGACTCAGGAGATCGGGGTGCTAGTCCCCACTTGGCTGTGAAGCTCACTGAGTATTGTCGGGATGGTTGCAGATACTCAGCTTAATCAACCTCACACAGTTGTTGTGAGAATAAAATGGAGAGGAGGAGACTCTTGTAAGCCGTACTGGATTCCCTGCAAGAAGAAGAAAGGTGGGGGATACATGCAGTGTAATAATAATAATCGTCAAGGCCCTAAAATTAAAGCTGGAGATTTCTTTCCCAGTGATTCTGTGATTCTGCTGAGAATGCTGCCAGCCAGGTGAAGCTGTTCAGAGAGCCACGGGCATTGCAGGTAGAAGCCTCCCGTGATCAGGGCTGGCCACTTACAACCCTCCAAAGAGAAAATGCATCAGCAAAAAAGAGGACAAAAGAGAAGAATGAATTGCATAAAATGTTTGTACACTGTATCTTGCAAATGCAATTTAGAAATTATTATGATTCAGATAAGAATACAGACCATTTCCCTTTTTACCAGTGCGGAAGATTGTGACCTGGTGACCTGTGTGCCTGTTTGGTCCACTGACAGATGGCTTTGTATTGGACGAAGGGACAGCCCTTTAAACAGAGGATGCCTTTAAAACTGATGGCAGTCCCTGGGGAAAATGCACAGGTGTAGCCAAGGTGGTCTAGGAAGAGTGAACCACTGGCAGCAGGGGCCTTTTGACAAGCAAGAACAAGATCAAGGAATACGCACCTCAGGAAGTCCTTGCTGCTCAAGCAGGGCTTCACTGGAACAGGAAACATCTTCTGTGCCTTCCTGTCCAGGAAGATGCAATGGCTGTCTTGGTTGGACAGAATCCCTGCAGGTCCTGGACGAACTTTGCCGAGAAACTGCCACGGTGCACAGACGCCAGTTCCTGATGCACGCCTAGCGCACCGTTCAAGCAAAGTGCCACCTCAGAAAGGAACAAACATGCCATGCTTGCTTTTGTATACGGATCGCCCTTGCTGGATCGGGGCATGGATCACTTACGGATCAGTTGATTTTTGGGTGCAGCCGATGTTCTGCAAGCTGTTTACAAATGAAAATATGGAAGATAATAAAGATCAGGGCTGAAACAGAATTATGACACCATTCATGGAATCCATATACTGTATTTTTCCGTCTATAACACGCCCTCATGTATAGGATGTCCCCACTTTTCCTAACGATTTACAGCAAGCAAGCTGCTGCCGTGTGCGCACGCCACTTCGCCCCCCTGGGCCCCCCCCCCCCCCCGTGAATAAGACGCACCTCCATTTTTGGCTAAATGCTTTGAAGAAAAAGCAGTGCCTTATACACAGAAAAATACAGTATGTTTTAGCCTTCCAAATCACTTATTTCTGGGAAAAAACACAGATTGATCAGGAGTAGAATTTTAGGGCTGGGAACTTCGAGGCCATCTATTCCAACCCCTTGCTTGATGAAAGCTGTCCTGAAGACTAAGGGCAATAATACAGAACGGTGCCTCATTTGGGGCTTGATGTCAATTGGCACAGGTGGCACAGGTTGTGCAATGCGATTGGAGCACTTCTTACAAAATTCTGTTTGAGCTTTTCTTGTGAAACTGGTTAACTAAGAGGTCATGTTCTCTGAAGTCACCCAACAGCAGGAATTGTTAAAACAGATTCTGTTCTCCTGGATTCACATTAACCAAAGCCATGCTGCTTAACTGATCTTTAAAATGCATTATTAAATAAAGGCACGTCCTGCAGAGGAATTGCCAAGTGCTGGAAGAGCATCAGTATGAGGTATGATCTCGATGCTCAGACAGACTAGAGGAAGTGTCTGGGCGCATATGCACAGCAGGTACAGGAAGCACATGCAATCCCACACGGGGCAAAGCTTGCATGCACACACGCACTCCCTGTGGTGTGACCAGCCACACCTCATGGCACTCCAAGTCAGAGAGCAGTGTCAGGACACCCTGCCACCTACACTGGAATTGCTGGAGGTGCAACTTTCAGAATGATGAAATCAAATGGATTTTCTTTTTAGCAGTGCCTCAGGATGCAGGGAAGAGAGCAGGAGATCAGGGATCTTGGAAGGGGTGTGTATGTGTGTGCATGCGCACATTTGTGCGCACCCTCCATATCTGGGAGCCATGGGAGAAATTAGCCTGGGTCCAGAGGTGATAGATATCCTGTTCATTGCATTCATTGTTCAAAGAGTAACTCATTTAAAAGATGTGATAAGAAGAAAGTGCTTAGTTGTGAAAAAGATAGAAGAAATAAAGAAGCATTGGAAGGTGGAAGCAAAAACTTTGCAAAATGCTGATTAGAAGTTGTTGAGGTAGAGAGTTTTGGGTTGACGCTTATGTTCTTCCTACTTAGAGTAGACCCATGAAATGCATGGGATTTCAAGTAGCAATGACAAACAAGTTCCAATCATCTCAAGGGGTCACCTTTAAGCAGGATTGAATCCTTGATTTTGCTTTTGTTTTAAAGTGCCTCCTTGCTTGAGTAGGTCAGCTAGAGGGTGCTCAGCTTTTAGAGAAAGAATAAATACCTTTAGTGCTATTACAGGCACAAGGCAAAGGGAGGGGAACCACATTCCAGACTGAGCTGCCATTAGCATGTTTCTTGGGAAATAACAATTTTCTTAGCAATCAAATAATTGCTGTTTAAGCCCAGAGGAAAATAACAGCTTTCCCATAATAGAAGCATTGCCTTGGAGAATGCAGTCATGCATTTCACACTGTGAAGGTGAAGTTGGAACCTTGTGTGCATATTGCGCAATGGTCTGATGCAATTATGGAGCCTGATTGAACAAACCTGTGAAGATCAAGAGGAGGAAGAGAAGAAGGGAGATAAGTATATTTGGAATCTTACAGCAACCAGCCAGAAGATGACAATTCAATTCAACTAGGATTTGGAGAGGGCTCTGACATCATGCTTAAACATTGGAGAAGGGGGGGGGTCATTTTGGACTTGGATTTAATGGTCTTAAGGAGGTTGTGTAGTGCCATGCAGTGCACACTTTACAACTTCTGCTGTAGTCCTGATATGTTTGAACAGACAACAACCTTTAAAAGGAAAGAAAAGATATGTTTGAACAGACAACCTTTAAAAGAAAAGCAATTAACCCCCCCCCCGAGCACTTGCATTTTTGCATTTATAAACTCACTTAAATTATAGTGCCATCATGCCTACAAAACTACAACAGGGCTTGCTTTTGCTGCCCTGATGCAAAAAAGATTTCTTTGGGAAGAAGCACTATTTTCTTATAGAAATGGATAATATTTATTTTAAAATAAAAGTAACAAAATGAACCACTCTAACAGTTTTCAAACTTATTTTCATTGTGAGTTTCAAAATCAAAACCAAAATCCAAACAATGACACCAGGAAAGGGAAAATAAAAACGTAAGTGTAAACACTGCACCTCCAGATATGTGCATGCATAGCCAGCCCCTCCTTGCCTGTAAAACATTCTTTTAAACACATGAAGAAAGGATGCTGTGGCAAAGAGCATCTGCCCCAGCGGCTCCCAGGAAGCTCATGCTGGCCCAGATGCCAACACTGGGCCTGCTTGCCACAGCTTCCAACATCTCTGGCTGGTCGGTCACTTGCGCCCATATCGCAGTTTGCAGAGTCCTGTGGCCCATCCTTAGCAGGACTACTGAAAGAAGAAGAAACCTCCTAGGATGGCCTATCTAATATTTCACCAAAAGAATGCCAGAAATCTTGGGTATGAACGACGGAGCACAGGTCAGAAGCAGCCAGGCATGTATCATTTTGCAGAGCGTGTGTTTTCTCTAGTCTAGTTCATTAGTAGCTTTTAAAATAATCCTCCCTCTCCTTCTGTCCCCACTCTTGTATGTTGGGGTTTTCCGCATTGCTTAGCAAAGTATCTGCTTAGATTCTCCTTTCTGCAATTCAGAGTTGATCACAAGCAGCCACTGTGTGAAACCATTTCTGTGAAATGTATTTATGTTAAGAAGAGTCTTGCTGGGTCATTCCAAAGGCCCATAATGTCCGAGACATGTGCCCAGGAGCACATATCTGTTCTTGTTCCATAGGGAATAATAAACAGAGGGATCCTACCACCGATCCTGGAGGTAGCCATCTTGACCAACAGCCTTTGATGACCTCCAGGTCATTCCCTCCCAGAACTGGTCCCCTCTTAAACCTTTTAGGATCCCCTCTAAATTACCTATGTTGATGGCTGTCACCATGCCCTGCTGCAGCAAATCCCATAGCTTAACTGCTTGCTGAGTGAAGGAGCTTTCCTTTCATTTACCTTGAATAGCCCCGCATTTGACTTCATCAGTGACCCGGTTTCTCCAGAACTGCTTTCCTAAGGACTGCATTCAACGCATCTGTTATTTTTCTATTGTATCACAATGTAGTCAGTGAGTTTGGGCCATTTGCTCTGGCAATCATCAAGCTTTTATTTATTTTAATTGATCAGTGCCTATCTCTCCTGTAAGGAGCACAAGGCAACTTGCAAAATCTTCCTATTTTGTCCTGACCACAACATCCCTGCGAAGTAGGTTAGACTGAGACTGAGTGACTGGCATAAAATCGCCCCATGTGCTTCATGGCTGAGTGGGGACTAGAACCTGGATCTTCTAGTCCCGGGTCCAACACTCTAACCACTGTGCCACTGAAGAATAATGTCAATTAACCTTGCTCATAATTGTTTGTGCAGATCTTTGGGCTGTGCTGCTTTCTGGAGGATGCGCTGGAGTACTGGGTTGGGCCACAGCGACACCCATGGATGTCATTAAGTCCCGGATGCAAGCTGACGGCGAGGGACAGCGGAAATACTCCGGACTGATCCACTGTGCTAGGGACAGCATCAGAGAGGAGGGTGTGAGAGTCCTTTTCAAAGGCCTTGGACTCAACTCAATCCGTGCGTTTCCTGCCAACATGGTGGTCTTCTTTATTTATGAAGCTGTACTTAGGCTTGGAGAATGCTCGATGAGATAAATGGTTTGTGCAACTTCATCCTATTTTTGTTTAGAAGGTACTTCTCAAAACCTCTAGTAACTTTCTTTCAAGGATGTTTTTGAGAGTGAAAACGTGTGTCAAAAGTTTTAATACTCCCACAGTATTTTCTGCTGCTTTTGCAGTGGGTGGGTATTCTGCGAGGAGAAATTCAGCGGCTTTTATTTCCATGTTAGAGTTACTGTTCTGCACTTGCCTTAAAAAGGTCTTTGTGGCTAGGAGCTGCTATTTTCCTTTCCCACAATGCCATGAAGCTGTGCTATGTCCGGGGGCATTGTGGGAAAGGAAAATGGCAGCTCCCAGCCACTTGGTGCTGTTTCAGAGCTGCTGCTGGGGTTTGCCGAAGCTCTCTAGAGGGAACTGTGACCAGACAACCAGGATCCCTACAAGTTCAGTGGCTAAGCAGTGATGACCAATGCTTCTCATGCTTATTTTTCAGCTGAAGGTGGACAGGTCAGCCCTTCTCTGACACCTGTCCTCTGACACATGGCCAACCTGCAGTAGCAACTTTGCCCTATATTCCCACTTTGCATGTACATTCCACCCTCAAGGAGCACTGTGCAATCTGCTTACCTCAAGCTGAATACAGAACTTCTGTGAGCAAAGATACGGAAGGAGGAATTCCTCCAAACAAAGGTTTGGATCTGCAGGAATTCGGTGTTCTCAAGCATTGCCATTGTTACTAAAACAGCAGGGCTGTTCTTCTGATAAGTACTAAACGCTCAAGGCTGCTGCACAGACTGATGCTGACTTTGCTAGAAAAACTGCACTTGTTGTGGGAACAAGCTGTTTATTTAATTTTGTTATCGTTATGCTCTTAACTATGTTTCAGGGTGCTATCCTATGCCAGTTTGGAGAGAAAAGGCCCATAGCTGGTTGCAGCATGCTGGGAATTGTAGGCCTTTCCCCCCTACCTAAATTCCCATAGCTGGTTGCAGCATGCTGGGAATTGTAGGCCTTTCCCCCCTATCTAAACTTGTACAGAATTGTGCCTTGATTGTGTTTAATGTATTTTATCAAATATTATTAGTGATTGCAAGCTGCCTTGAAGTGCCAGTTTTTGTCAGAAAGGCAGGGTACAAATACAAACATAAATATTTTGCATAAGAACTTATGTGCCTTCGATCCATACATTATTTGAAAAGGAATCCTTTGGTGCTTGGCACTTTGAACTCTGTTCCCATTTATGCTATTTCAAGCTTTCACTCATTCCCAGATGCCTCTTTTACAAGCTCTGCAAGGATAATTGTGGCTTTTGTAACCCCTGGGGGAATTCAGCAAGCAGGGGCTGCTGGAACACATTCCCAGGTCCAGCCATTCCCACCAAGGCCTCCCTGACCTCTCTGCTTGCAGGCCCTGGCCTTCCAGTGAGTTCATTGCATGGTGGGAGTGTGAAATGGTACAGACACGCAGCAGGGATGGTAGGAACAAGCAGTCACAATATTTGTATCAGGGGATTTATACATGCTTGGTATCCCCATAGGGGAACTTCAGAACAATGCACATTAAAGATCTTTGTTGCACACTATCTTTGAGTTAGTATGTTTTTAAGTATGGAAATATAGATGTTGGTAGTATACTCATGCCAGAACATAATGGAAACTAGACACACATTGCCCATGTTCAAATCTGTACCAAGCATTGCAATGCTTCATCAGACCAAAGTTTATTTGTCCCCACAGCAGCTAGCTAGATGGCTCTGAGTGCCGCAGAGCCAGGCTTTCTCCTGTTCTATCTTATGAGAGCAGAGCTGCAGCCTCCAGGGATGCAATCAAGGGTCATAAACCTCAGGGCTGACAGCTCCCTCTTGATCTGAGGCCCTACAGAATCTGAATCCACAACTCCGTGGACACCAAACTAGCAAGAGTACAAGAGTCTACAGCAGAGTGCCTTACCCCTGCAGCAATCTGAATATAAGATCAGTGATAACAGGCGAGGTGCAAGCATCAGTGGAAAGAGCATTCACTCTTCCTGGAGTTGGCCAAATCATTTGGCGCCATCCCCAGGAGCACCACGTGAAGCTCGAGACTTGGTGGGTGCTAGGAAGATTGGCCCCTCTTCCAGGGGTTGGCCACTGGTTCATGTGGTGTGCATTGTACTAGGAGGAAATACATTTTCCATGCTGAGGGAGATACAGAACTCTGTGCTCCTCTTAGCACAGAGAAAAGCTAAAATGGGTGACAAACACGACCAGGTGACATGATCCAGCTTAGAGTGAACCTGGGGGCAATTCATCCCCTCTCCCCAGCATAGTTCTGAGCACCATAGTCCTGCACGGAGCCGCATCTTCAGGGTTCAACAAAGAGGTACAGGCCTTTCATCCCCCTCAGCACAAGGGACAGGGAAAATTGGCAGAAACAGAGACACTGGTAGAGGTTCAAACTGTGCATGGTCCTTGCTTGCCCTGGCCAGGTGCATGTGGCTCCAAAGGACAGACACACAGACAGTCCATGTGACCATGAAGCCTATTTTATTGTGGCCTGCCGATCACTCATATGACGCCTAGGCAGCACCTAGCCTAGTAGATGCTGCAGAACTGCTATGGCAAATGAAGACAGAGCAGACACAAACAACACGTCTCCATAGTCACACATGTGGAGTCTCCACCTCTACAGCAGACTCAAATCGGTGCACTAATGTACTTGGCAGAGGAGAGCTGTTTGGTGCCTAGAGATGCACTTGTATTCTTTGGAAGGAAGTGACTTATTTTTGTTGAATGCAGAAGAAATCCTCAAAGCTAGCGCCTATTAACAGCTGAAATTGAATTTTCACATCCCTTTCATGTTACAAAGTTTAGGGATTCATCTTGGTGTCTTAAGAAAGCATTTGCTGTCGTCAAATATATACAAAGATTTAGTGGAACTACCAATCTCCAAGACAGAAATAAAACCGGAGGCAAAATTCAGCTGCATGGTCCAGGACAGCTTTGAGCAGAGATCAAACTTACTGTCTTCTGTTGAGCTAATGGATCAACATTTTCCTCCAGTTCATGAGTACTAGTAATCTGGACCCTCAAAAGTACTAAAAGTAATACAGAAGTCCCAAGTGATTTTCAGTTGGCTTGGATTAGAATGTATTTTAAGTTAAAATTTTAAAAAATGTAAATACATACACGTGACATATACAATTTTCAGCCACTCAGAATTTGTTACACATGGGCACAGAAGATTATTGTAACACAAACAACATTTGGTATTAAAGCCCCATTGCAAAAATAGCTGCCGCACCTCCTCAGGTTAAGTATGCATCTAGCAACTTCCATTCAATATGTAAGAGTTGTGCAAGAGGCTTCTTGATGATTTGCAGATTCAGGTTGTGTCTAATCCCCATTATTTAAACATGAACACATCTGGCAACTTTATTTCTATGTTCATCACATACCTGGGAACCTGTGGTATAGGAAATATTCAATGGGTACTATATTGTGTGGACTATTGCTTACTGCAAGCTTATATGAAAAACAAGATAAACACAAAACAATGTGAATGCAGCAAAATAGACATAAAGATGTCCTTTGTTGGTCTGGAAGTCACTTGACATCAAAGCATAGCTTGATTAATAGTTTTCATAAGAATATTTTGTACTTATTTGCACTGCTTTTATTGTGATAATCTCCTAGCATTCTGTACCATGTGTGAGAAATAATAGGTATGACGACTTTCCTATTGCATGGTGCAGAATATACAGAGCGTGATTTGTCAAAAGCAAACCTCTTCCAAAAAACCTCAGTCCAGCATGAACCTTAGCCATGTAACTCTATTAATCAGGGAGTCAAAAATCCACAACCTGTCCAATACTTTTATCTGTAGACATAAGTGTATTTTTGAGTTTCCTTGTGAAACTCACAAATATGGTGTGACTTTTAGAAGGCAGCACTACAATTATCCACTGTAATTAGACATCTGAAAAGATGAAACATTCTAGCCCAAATAACTATGCTTATCTTTGGAGCAGGAATTCATACTAATTATAAAAACATGTTTCATCCAAGTAGAATTTGGCGTTACACAAGAACCTTTATTAATGTGATGTTCGTGTTTTTTGTTATAACATGTTCTGTGGAACAAGGTACTCTGTTGACAAACAATTATTTCCAGGTGATCTTCTCACCTATAAAAGTGCAATTAAGTCTGCAGCTGAGGCCGGCTTCTTCCAACTAGAAGTACAATTTCCCCCAAAGAATCACTGAAGTTAACCATGGATAACTTTGCAAGGTTAGAAGCAACACTGGCTGCACCCTTTACAGCATAGGGAGAGGGGACATACAACAAGAGACCAGGATAGTATCAATCCACTGTGTCTACACCTACTGATAAATTAACATGCACGCCTAGAATTAATCATCAAATGCCAGCTTTCGTGGAGTCATGAATTCCTTCACCATTTCATCTGTGATCTGCTTTCGCTTTTGCTGGTGAGCTGCAACCAAAGGCTGAAGGGTTTCAATCAGCAACTTCTTGAGTTCTCCAGTCAGCAGTGCTCCACTTGAATATGCCTGTTGCGAGAACATTACAGTCAGATTTAGTAATGGTTGTATCAAATAACATTCAGGGGAAAGCAGCAGCTGGCATGCAAAGCATTCTTCTCTTGTTAATTAGAAACCTTATTCCCTCTGTCTCATTGACATAGAAAGAGATGTTTTAAGGCCCAGTGTATAAGGTAAGAACCTTGACTGCATGACTCACAGAGAGCTGAAAGGCACATCCTGAAAAGAACTTAGCATAGATTAGATACTGTGCATTTTAACCCACAGTAGCATGTTCAGAATATACAAAGGAAGAATGTTCTCAACCTTTTCATGCAGCTTAGAAGTGACCAGTCTTCATGAAAGGATTGCAAGTTTACTGGTTGTACACTGCAGATCAAACGGCACTGGAATGGGACTGCATCGCGGCCATCCTCAGCCCTTGCTTTGCAGTTGTGCCAGGTGTGGTCAAAGCACCAGGTAGCACTGCTCCAAGCTGCCCCTTGCTGCAGAGGCCTGGGGTCAACAAAGCTCACATTTTCTTACGAAGGCCCAAATCTTGCATTTCAGTATCATTTCCCTGTCAGTGAAGATACTGTATTTAAATGGAGATACTGCAATCCTGGAGGAAGAGCTACAAAGAGCACCCTCTGAATAGCTGCTGTGGTTCCATTTAGATGCCAGGAAGCATTTCCTGACAGTTAGGACCCCGAGGGTGTGGAATGGGCTTCCACAAGAGGTCATTGAGGCCCCATTGGTGAGGGTGTTCAAAGATAGGCTGGACATGCACATGGCGGGCATGTTGTGAGTGGAGCCGGCTGGAGCAGGGGGTCAGACCAGATGGCCCAGGAGGCCCCTTCTGACTTGCTTTATTTTTATGTTCCTGGGCCAGGTTTAATGGTAGCAGCAGTGGCTTAGGGTGGGTAGAGAATGAGTAGCAGCAGTGGCTTAGGGTGGGTAGAGAATGCAAATGTTTAAAGGAGCTGCAACCTGGGAGTGAAACAAGGGATCTTCAGACTAGAGGCAACCTCATACCCTTACAGTTAGGGATCAGGAGCAAGGAAGAGGTTTAGAAGATTGGTGGCAGGAGAGAAAAGCAGAGAGCTATGGAGGGATAGCAGTCAGAAAACCCAAGGAAGATCACTGAGCAGAATGTTGCCTAATCTTTTCCTACCCAGCAAGTTCTGTAGCTCCTTCAGAAATACTTTTGTGGATGACTATATTTTGCTGGGTTAATGGTAATGCTCTCTTCTGTCATACAGAAAAATGGATTGGAATGGTTAGAATCTGTGTATGTTTGTGTGCGCATGTGCATGACAGAGACAGAAATGCAGAGAGGGACTTTGTGTCGTGAGTGAGTGAAACAGAGAATGAATAAAACTTTGCTCCTGAAATTCATCAGTTCAAGCTGATTATAAGGAACGAGTGAGATGCTTCCATCTGTTGCGTTTGCACATTCATAGCTACTGACTGCTATGCTCAACGTAGAGCTTGCATTCTGCTTCTGTAGGAGCTTGCATATGAGAGTGTCCTAGTGGAGCTGGACCCGAGAGAGAAAGAGACAGAAAGGATCAGAAAGAGGAAATAATACGATTGAATGAAAACTGCAAATTGGAAATTGCCTGTGGATTTTCATCAGGGTGGTAAAGCAGCCCCAAAGGTAGGAAGCAGCAATTACCTGCTTGATTTTTTCCAGTTTGTCATCATCTTCAAGGAAGAAGGTGAGGTACATGTAAGACACATCAACATCACAGTTGCCCCCATACTTCCGGTGCTCTTCAACTGTGTCTTTGCCACCAGAAAATGCATGCTTATTGATCTGAAAGAAGAGACAAGGGCTTCAAGCATTTTATAAACAACGTCTGTAGCACTTTTCAGTGTAATATCAGAGCTTTTTTGCAACTCCTGATTGTAAGGGGCTTTGAACAGAAAGTTGCTAAAATGCATGAAGTAAAACAGAGCAATCCTACAGAACAGGAATTTGAACAGAACGAGAATTTGAGGCAGAACAACTGAGTTTCTTGGTCTTAGGACTAAGCTGACAGAATGGAAGATAGCTGTGCATATTATCTTCTTTTTCCAGCAGATTTTAAAAAATACAGTTTCTCTTTCTTTGGAATGGGAATCAACACCAGTCCTACAGCTGGCATGGATTCACCTTCATTGCAGGTGTGAGCCAGGGGAATGTGAAGCTTTGGAACCTGCAGATTCACAGTCTCTCCTTTAATGTCACCACAACACCCTTTGAGGAACCACAGGACTGCAGAACATTCTGCAGAATCAGCCAGATGTGACTGTCATGGACTGGGACATAGCATCAAAGGGCTTGGAGTCACTGACTGGGTTTGCCCATCATGGCAATCCACGGTGGCTCTTGCATTGTATGAATCAGGACCACCTCCCCCAGGGTGGTTCGCTTTTGGGCACCAAACCACGCTGCCAACCCATGGCTAGTCGTAGGACCTACAATGAGTTGGTATGTGATCCAAACCTAGCACACCAACGGGTCCAAGAAAGTGGCGAGTGAGCTGTTTGGCAAGAGGGAAAGGTGTCCACAAAGGGGGCAACACTTCCTGAGTTGCCTGGACCACTGACAGTGACTACAACTCTACCACATGCCCAGGTGGAGCTTTGGTGCAACCACGAGAGGCGTGCTGTCCCTGCCGTGCTTAGGGATTGCTTTTTGTGATCTTCAAATTGACGGCAGCAGCCTCTCTGAAGCGCCGAAATGGCACACTGGAGGGGTGTCACTGGTCTACCACCATCTTTTTTTTAATTGTGCCACAAATGTGTTTGGTTCTTTTTCTTTTGTTTGAGAGTTTGGAGTTGTGCAGCTGTCCAATTCTAACTATCCAAAATCTGAAGGCTTGCCTGGACAATATCCTGGGAAGTGCCTGTTGTCAGTGGAGACACCATCCATAGGCACTGATGAAGCCATTTAAAGGGACATACATGTCTATCTCCCCATCAAAAAACGTTGCTCAGCCCCATCAGAAACCCGGTTTAAAAGAAAGCATTAGTTCTGGCAGCCCTCAAATTAATTGCTCCTGAAAATGAGGCATGATGCATTTTTCCAGCTTCCTGAGAACAGAGTCACAGGAGAGGTGAAGAAGTTGGAGGGTGCGCAAAACTGCGTGGTACAACCTTAAATCCAGGAGGGTCTTGCTGTGAAGCGTGTGATCTACTCACCACCCCCTTTCTCAAGCAAAGATCTCATGTTTTTGCTTTCATTTGGCAGTGTGCTTTTTTATCGCTGTGAAAAGAAAGCCAAGTTAATGTATTTGAAAGTGGGCTTTATCAGTGTCCATGGATAGTGCCTGCCCTTACAGTCGGCACTGACCAAGACACTGATGAAGGAAGGGTACAGATTTTGGGTATCTGAAATTGTGCAGTCATGCAAACTCTGAACTACTAGCCTCCCCATTATTTTTTTAAATTGCCAAACACATTTGTACACACAGGGAAATGATGGAAAAAAATAGGTGGTAAGCAAGGGATGGCCTTGCCAGTGTGTCCTTTGGATCCATGAGAGGGGCAGGCACTGGCTGTAACTGACAGTTCAATCAAGGCAACCTCAGAAAAAAAAGTGGGGAGGAAGCTGTGGTGATCATAAAAGGACAGGCTTTCCGTTTAAAACAGGATTTTTCTTACAGGGATAAATGTTTTGTTTTGACAGGGCAGAGGGCAGAAGAGACAAGAGAGTTTAAGCTGCCGAGTCTCCTGGCACACCAGCACCAGCACCAGCGAGGGAGCAAGCGACGGTGACCCCAGTCATCTGCTGAGCGCACTCTGACTTGTTCCATGAATAATCCATGCTGCATGGCCACATCGTGCCAACTCACCCATGGAGTGAAATGCCATGTCATCGAGCTGAAGACATCTTAATCTCAGAGTATGTCATGAACAGAATAAATAAAACCAAGCACAAACATGCAATGGCTTTTAAAGGCGGATTTTTACTGCTTTTGTAATGCTGTTTTATACTGCTGTGTTTTAACATTTCTTTTATAACAATTTGAACTATTAGTAAACTGACCTCAGAACCTGCTGAGGCATACTTCTTTCAAACTGAATCAAGTCCAAAGACAATATGATAAACAATGCGTATGTACATGCATGTATATATTTAAAAGGGTACTGATAAGTATTAGATAAACATTGGAGTTCTGCAAAAGTTTTGCATCTCCCAACAAGGAAGCCCCGCCAAATAAGAAAGCAACACAGCTGATTCTAGCTCTAATCAAACCACTGAATCATCAATTTTCCTCCGTCATCAACAGTTTGGCTTGCAAATTGTGTCAGAAATGTATTATTCTTAGGAATCAGCTTTTATACCTCTACACAGTCATGTAATGCACTTTCTTCTGTTATTACAAACAAAGCTGAGTATCATTATAATAAAATCTGTCATGATGTTGGGAAGTATCTTAAATTATTTGTGTCAACTTTTAATAAGAGACAATACATTTAGTGTCTGGACAGCAGCATGGGAACTAAACTGAAGGTATTTCACGAGATGCCTCAGAATCACGTTAGATGCTGTCCAAGCCTTCTGTTTCGTGATTCATTCATTGTCCACATGCCACAGCGCAACACACCCAGTGCAGCATCCTGGCATACTCGATCCCCTTCAGGGCATGCAGAGTTTGTGTTGGAACATGCCCCTCCAAAAGCACGGTTCATGGGAAGGGCTTAATGTACTCATTTATTTGCCACCAAGTGGATCTCAGGCAACAGTAGTTTGCCTGGCAACGGTCACCATGCAGCAGGTGAGTTTTGGTGCGGCAGAAAGGCAGTCAATAAGAAACCAGATCTATTAGCCTGATTTACATCACAAGGTGTGTCAATCCTGAAAGCCATGGAAACCTACTGTGTATTTTTAGAAAAAGTGACATCACTGGGCCAACATTTACGTCAGCTCATGACTTCTGCCAGCAGAACAAACAGGATGCTTAGTACATTAAATATTACTGTTAGTTTAGCTCCCACTGCAAGGGTAATGCAGTCAGAAAACCATGTGGGCCCTCCAGCCCGTTTTATCATTTTTATAATATTTGTGCAAGGGAACAGGGAGAGTTCTAGAGCGGCATGTTTCAATGAGTGGCTGCTGAAATTAAGAAGGAACTCACTCCAATTAAAAACTGCAGATTGTGTTACTCTCTTACCTTTGTTTTTATTTGCTTCGGTGTATCTGTGAGAAAGATGGAGGTGTTGGGGTCACTGGCACTCATTTTTGTTTGTGCTCCCTGCAAGGCTGGAAAGAAAACTGAATGCAGCAGTGCCGGCTTGGGATAGCCAATGCGAGGGGCCACGTCTCTTGTCATTCGGAAATAGGGATCCTAGAAACAATGAGCAGGAACAGTGAAGGGGAAGGCAATTTTTTATTTACTTTAAAACATTTGTATGCTGCCTATTGTGCCACTGCACCTCTGGGTGGGCTCACAATCCTAAGAAAAAAACACAATTAAAAAAACCACTAATTACAACACTATAAAAAAAGGTGTTGTTGTTTAGTTGCAAAGTCATGTCCGACTCCTCATGACCCCATGGACAACATTCCTCCAGGCTCTCCTGTCTCCCCCCCCCACCAAACAATACTAATAAAATGAAAATACAGATGAAAATACAAAAGTTTAGTGGCATCAACTATTAAAATATTTTTTAAAAGGAAGGTCCTTGCCTGGTGCCAAAGAGTATAAAGAAGGTGCCAGGGGGATCTCCTTGGGGAGAGCATTCCAGATATGGGAGCAGCTGCAGAAAAGGCCCTTCTCCTAGCAGCCATCCCTCTCACTCCCTTAGGGGATGGCTCACACAGGAGGGCCCCCTACTTAGATCTCAAAGGCCGGCAGGCATATATGGCTGCAGGAACTCCTTAAGATAACTGGAGCCTAAGCTGTTTATGGCTGTATTTGTCAACACAAGCACCTTGAATTGGGTCTGGGCCACAACTGGTAACCAATGAAGATCTTTCAGTATAGGTGTTGTGTGGGCCGCTCTAGCGGCTTGCGTCACTAACCGAACCGCCCTGTTCTGTATCAACTGTAATTGCTGGACCATCTTCAAGGGCAGCCCCACACAGAGGGCGTTGCAGTAATCCAATCTGGATGTTACTAGTGCATGGGTAACTGTTTTCAGGCTCTGTTTATCCAGGGAGGGATGAAGCTGGTATATCTGGCACAGCTGCAGGAAAGCACAACTGGACACTGAGTTCACCTGATATTCCAGGGACAAACCTGGGTACAGGAGCACCCCCAGACTGAGAAGCCTGTCCCTTAGGAGAGTGCAACCCCATCAAGGACAGAGCAATGCCCTGGATTAGAGTCCCTTCAGCCTCCATCTATCTGCTACCTTTTACATGGATTTCCACTGCCAAATCCCGAAACTGAATGTAATTTGCTTTCTTAGGCATCACTGCAAGGTTGGCGAGTAGCTTTCATGCTTCAGTATTCACTGAAACATCCTCTGATGGGAGGAGCTCTCTGACGAACTAATACAAGGGTTCTATAACAAAGTGAAGCTGCCCAGTTATTTCCATCATCCTCAATCACTGGCCATGTGGGCTGGAGCTGTGAGGAAGCTGGAGTAGAGCATCTTCTGTAGGGCCACATGTTTTCCACCCTTGGCACAGAGACACAGCTGTCACAGATACTTCCTCATCCATAGCTTTAAGCTGAACCCCTCAAAAGTACCTGACCACCTGAGATGAAGTTCAAGAGGTATGTGCTCCTCACAGGTGTCTATAATACACGCTCTCAGCACATGTCACCTTTCTGTCTTTCCCCATGGAATGATCTTGTCTCCTGAAGATGAACCTTAGGAGTTCTCCAAATGTCAAGACAGTGCCTAGCATAGCTTGGAGATCAAAACTGGGCAAGGCTCAACTCTTCTGTTAAAAGATGCATTAATTTTATATGTAGAGGACAAATGGAAGCAAAACTTGGCCCTGTCCTTTTCCATGCAATGGAAAAGACTGGTAGGCAGTTCCAAGACCCCGTCAGCCAAAGTAATGGCCATTAGGAAATTGGTGTAAAAGAAATTGGTGTAAAAATAAACTGCTCCCCTCTCTATTAAGGGGGAAGTTAAATATAGAGTGGAGCATGATGAAATTTTAACATGAATGTCAACTGTTACCACTTGTCTGAACAATGATCAATGGGTATTGATATATGCAGGTAAGTACAGGTGTTCCAAGGAAAAAGGCACTGAATTTCAAAAAGGAATTCCTGAGGCTTTAGACCACCAAAAGGAGAAATAGGTAAACCCTGGACAGAGCCTGAATCTGCTCCAGAAACTGAAAAACTTTCAGTAACCCATTAAGGAACGCTCCACGCTCAAAACTAGGACAGTTTCTAAGTGAATTAGAGCCACCTGGAATAGAAGAGCTAGAACTATCGCATTCCGAAGCTATAAAGCAATCTAATGCACATGCCCTCCAAGATGGTGATTATCCCCAATGGCCTGACTCTCTACACAAGCCAACATGCGGCACCAGTGGCAAGCCCCGGTCTTTGAAAGATCAGACTAAGCAACAGCAAACAGCAACAGCAAACATCAGACCAAGCAACAGCAAAACAGATTCCCATGTGAAGCGGTGGCCTTGCTGATGAAAGAAAATGTGCAAAGGGACGCTGCAGTGTCTCAATATGAAGCGCTGCATCAGAACTACACAAAACCTGGCAAGTAGTGTTGGAAGCACTACACTCACATTTCTAAATATTCTCCTTCCACTACAAGATCTAAAACCTCTTGTTAGCGTGCTCATGAAGCAGAATCTTACACTCTAATAATTCTCAGGATGCTGAATAATTCTAATAATTTTAAGGATGCTGATGGGTGGAGCCTGTGGCATTGACCCAAAGCTAAGGCAAAATCCTATGCATGTTTAGACTTGTTATTTTCTTTCTAAACAAGCATAGGATTGTGATTTTAAGGGAGAGGGTTTTTTGCTTCCTCCTCCATCATAGCACCTTAAAAGCCCCTGGAGGTTGGGAGTCCTCCTGAACTAAATGAGGTGGGACACCATACTGTGCAGGAAAAGAAATTGTCCAAAATCGGATTCAAATTTTAAGGCAAATCATTGTAAAGAATTTCAGGGGAGGAAGCATTCCTATACCTGTGCATGTCCTTCAGCCAAACTTATATTGGATTACATCTTGCATATCTCTAATTGCATGCAAAATATATAGCCTTAGATGCTATTAGATGCTAATTCAGGGTGCAATTAGAGATCTGCAGAGTACACCCATCACTGGTATTCCTTCGTGAACTATGATGGAAATGGTTTAAAAAACTGTAAGAAGTAAGCTGCATACCTGATCAATTGCACATGGGATCAGACACTGAATGTCCTTCTTATTGTTGAAGAGCTGTGGAAATGAAGAACTAAAGGATGGAGCTGCTTGTATGGCAGGAAAACTGATTTTTCCTAGAAAGGCACAAAACAGAATTGTGATCTTGTTTTTACCAGTGAACCAGTTGTCTGTTCTTGCGTTATAGTACCATGTAACATGCCTGCCATAATCTGAATACTCTCTGCAAACAGCTTCAAAGAATATTGTTCATATTATTTATATTAATATAAATATAGTCTCTCTGTGGTTAGACACATTTACATGTCGTATATAAGGCAGGCATGGCTAATCTTGCAAGCATGCTATCCTTAAATTTCCATTCCTGCACCAGAAAGCAAAACAACAAGAGAGAAAAACAAATTAACTTGATAACCTTGCTGAAGCATTCAGCACCCAGAGCTACTGAACACCTGAATTGTTGTTGCTAGTCGCGAAGTCGTGACCGACCCATCGCGACCCCAGAACACCTGAATAGGGCTTATATATTCTTTCTGAAAGCAAACAAATGCTTAAGACAACATCATCATCAGAACAACCTTGGTGGATCCAATCAAGCTTCTTTTCCTAGTTAAGAACAAGAATCAGCCCTGGGAATATGGGTGCCCTCTAGGAGAGAATTCTCTATTAGCTTAATGTGCTGCCACCCCACCTTCCCCATGTATGGTTGCGAATTTCCAATATACACTTGCATGGGAAACAGTCCTGCTTAAAAGCAGAGATCATAGTTCGTATGAACCACAGTTAACATTGCTGGCAATGGTTCTCTTAACCACAGCTGAAATAGTGGTGGTGCTGGTAAGACTTGTTCTAGAGCAGGGGTGGGCAAATAATTTTCCTAAGGGCCGGACCAATACACTTACAGCTCTGCTCAATATGTATCTCTATAAAAACAGTAAATGAAACATTACAATGATACAATGAAAATGTGGAGCACAGAACAACACTATTTAATGAATATTCACAAAAACATTAACATTAACATTACATGATAAGCAATAAATTCAATTCAATTTAGCAGATCCTTCAAAATAAAAGCAGTGCAGTTGTATTGCTTGCATCTATATTACGACGATATATATTTGCATTGACTTTTAATTTGCCAGTGACCTCATGCGGGCCAGTCAGGGTCAGCCATCGAGCCGGATGTGGCCCGCAGGCCGTACAATGCCCAGGTCTGTTCTAGAGGGTAAAGGGTGCCAGTGAAAGTAAGAAGCACACAAAGCATTATGTACCTTGACGGTAGCACCAATGTCAGTTACACTATGCACAACGGTTAATTTGCATTAGCAAACTGGACACTGCCCGCATTTATTTATTTTATCTGTACACACAGTTCTTATAATTGGGTTTTTCTTTAGATTAAACAAAATCTTAAAATAATATCATCAGAAAAAGAACAATGGTGGATCTGATCAAAAGTTCTTTCGTAGTTCAACAATATTATTTCTGAGATGGAGCAACCAGAAAAGTATGCACAATCTATGCACAATGTTCACTTTATTGAGTAATAAATGTATTTTACCACAGGCTAGAAATGTAGCCTAATATAGACATTAAAATTCAGTGAAGTTTTATTTGATGTTTTATTTGTGCATGCATTACTTAATGTTGGAAGTTGCTCTGGTGGACTTTCAGGAACATGCAGTAGAGTATAAATGCAACAAAAGCACAACTAGGATTGGGATGACAGTACTTGAAAATCAGCAGCAGGTATTTCAAATGCTCATCTATTTACAAAAAAAAAAAAAAAAATACTGCCTTCACTTTATTTGCATAAGACATTTTTATCCCACACTTCTTCTAAGAGGCTTAAGATGACTTCATCACCAGTGTTATTCTACCAATAAGCCTGCAAGACTGGACCAGCCTGCCAACACCAAGAACCTTTCAGATGTTTCAGATCGCAGAGCCCACATAGTCTGATTAATGGCCATCAAAGCTGGGGCTGGCCATCATAACTGTAGCCTAAAACATCTGGAAGGAACCACTTTGCAAAACGATCATGGTCAGCCAAAGGTCAGTCAGTGAGGTTCCTCCCCAAGTGAGATTCTGATCTGAGACCCTAATCTGAATCTTCTGGACCTTTCTCCAACACTCTGCCTGCTATACCAAATATTTCATTCTTTGATACAGTTTGATATAGAAGCCCACTGTGCTCTTAGTTCCAGTAATTTGTATTCATGAATTACTTGAAACCTATAAGGAACTTACCTATGCAATCACTGTCTGTAAAACCAAAGATGCCTTTTACTTGATTGAATGTAACATGTTTTTGAACTTTAACAATATTCTTGTAGAATTCTGGGCTCATCCTGGGAACAAAGGGTGGGAAGGGAGAGAGATTAGAACTTAAAATTTGGACAGGTAAAAGAAAGCTTTCTGAAGAATACTCTCAGGCCAACACTGTGACTGATTTTCTAAGAAGTGTGAACTGTTGACCTACTGCATGAAGAAGTAAAGATAGAAATGATTTCTATTCAAAGCAAATTCATAAAGTAATATTTATAGAAAACTGTCACTTTGCCTCAAAGTGGGAGCATACTAAAAAACCCCCCTCATGCTAGAGCAATGCCATATTTCTGCAAACAATTTTCTTACTGTCTGACTTTGGCATAAATGATCATCGATTTGTTCCACTACATGGGCCTAATAAGAACATCCATAAAGATCCCTGTGATACAGTGTGGCATCTGCTGACAACAGCTAAGAAATTAGTTGCAAGCAAATGGCAAAACAACCTGTTGCTACACAGTCAGAATGCTTATTACACAGCCGCTTTTGCAGCTCACGAGGCACTTGCTGCCTGTATAGAGACAGAACATGTGTAGGTCTAGCAAAGCGTAACTGTATGACTTGCCACCTGCCTCTGCCACAGAACACAGGAAGTTCAATTCATATGGAGGCAGACAGCCGGATCCTCTAGCTTGGTACCGTTTACAACAGGGGTGCAGGAAGATGTCCTTCTGCCTGAGAGGGAAGGTCCACTCTAGAAGTAGGTGCAGCTGACATGAAAAAAGCCAAGTCTAAAATACCAGCAGATCTTGGCTTGAAGCTAACCAATCTTTATCAGAAGTACCTGAGCCTTTCAGAATGGGAGAGATCTGCACAAAAACCAAGAAACCACTGAAAAAAATCTTGTTTGGGGCAGAGGGGAGCCCTAAAGAGCTAGGCTGGGGGCCAGGGGGGGCTGGGTTTAGCCTCTCAGCCACTCCATGGTCCATGCTGACCGGCACTGGTTCTCCAAAGCTTGCAGCAAAAAGGGCTCCGAGCCCTCACTGGAGATGCCAGGCAGTCAGCTTGTGATCCTCTACATGCAAAGCATACACTACATCACTCCTTTCTCATACCTTAGATGTTGCTTCATAGCAGGCCCTTGTAAACAAATTGTCTTAATTTTCAGGCCCTTTTCTCTGAAGATAATTAAGTCAGAACAAAGACAGGCAGTGACTGAGGCTATTCTATTTGCGAGGTTTACCCTCATGTCAGGCCAATGCCCTTAGAAAAATAACACTGTCAAGAAGCAGAGACAGGTTGACTCAAAGTGTATTACATTTTATGTCCCCTGGGCCTGGAATGCCAGAATGTTAAAATTCTATGGAAGACCACAGGAAGCTTCCTCAGAGACTAGCCAAATACTGAAACACAACAGAGTTCAAGATCTGTTTTCATTTTGAATGAATTGCTGTTTCCTCCAAAGCTGAAACAACCTCAAGGGGTCGTATTGTGCCCCCTACTGGAACTAAAATGAAAACTGCACATATAATACTTCCCTATGGTTCAACTGTGTGACAAAGAAACTTTTCATGGCATCCACAATAAAAATAATTAGCTTTTTTGCTCTCTTCTTAACTCAAGGAGTTCATTGTACAATGTCATATTTGCAACTGATACGTATCTTGGTGTGAACAGTGTTATCTGAAACAAAGTGGATTAACTCCCCCTCCCTGTCCCCATCACCCAAAATTTTGGTATGGTTGTTGGGCAGCTTAATGAGAAGACTTTTGATCATGTCATTTCAAAAATATTTTAGAACTGTACCCTAAATAACTGAAATCAGAAAAGATGAACGTTTTGTTGATGTCAAATCCACAGGCTATGATGTCCTTGATGTTCTCCACAGCATACTGGTAAGTCTTCTCAATTGTCAAATCTTTCCAGAGGTACTTCTCATCATCAGTCAACTGTATGACCAAGGGGACATTAAATACTTCTTGTAACCACCTAGTAAAAACAGAAACAAATGTAGTAAGTGCATGGAGTGGGTGGATTCTAATCCAATCACAAGTGAACAAGGTCATCTCCACAGGAATGTATGACGAGGGTTAAATTATTCACGATTCCCTGGATACTCTTTACGGAATTATTTTCTCAGTGGCAAAGATGCGTGTTAACAGGTAGGCAACCATAATATGGTAAGATGCATGGGCCTGTTTTGCAGGGAGAATTTATTTGGTGAGTTCTGGTGAGAGGGCCACATCTTTCATAAAAAATGTGCCACCCCTCTTTTTCCTCCTCCAGACAAACAACGAAGTCTGGAGAAATAGTATTAATTTTTCCTTTTGAAAAGCACTGCAGTCACACTGTGATCTAGATATATCACAGCATCATTGAAAAAATGCTTTTTCCATTACACTCTTGTCATATTGATCCATTGTGGCTTGAGTATTGACAAGGACGCTTGCAGATAAGGCTTTTATCTTGGTATTGTTCTGCCTCCACCATGGAATTTTACAGAGGGTCTAGACAGCATTGCCTTCCACTCATAATCCTCCTGCATTTGTCACCATTTCTTCTGCCTTTTTGCTTACTGCTGAAAATCCATTAAGGAAAAAAAGAAGACAACAGAATAGCGGCAGACAGATAGCAGTAAATGGCCCCTGACTGGAAGCAAAAGCTGTTTACTGAAAGAAATGCAGGCTCCCCCTATTATATTTTTGCACTGTTTAGTTTCAGAATGTGGGATATTACCATGGCAATGGAACTGACTTATATTTGCGCAAAAGAAAATCAAGTATGAGAAAACACGTTTGCGGAAAAAACAGGTAACAGTTGATGTTTCCCGAAAGGTAAATTTCAAGCTAATGTTTATCTGTATCTCCCTTTCTTATTAATATGAAATGACAAGTTTGGTTTTATTTCAGAAGGAATTCACTTTTGTCTGTTTTTGTATATTTGTGATTTTATAACAAATTTCTCTTAAGAGAATAAAAAAGAGAGAAAAAAGGCTCCTTTTGTAAACTTTCTTTTCAAGGATCTCAGATTTCAAAGCTCAGATCTCTAAATTACAACCACTGATTCTCTACTGCAGAGGTTATTTTAAGCATCATTTTCAGCTGCAAATGAATTCCCAATGCACAAACATCTCCCAGAATTATTCTAAAGGAAAACAGTAACAACATAGAAGCTGATATTCCCAACTCAGAAACTCCATGCACATTGTTTCAACAAGTGCACAAATTGTTTCCAGCTATACATTAATATAAAGCCTGGTTTACTAAGTATTTGTCATTGACATTAACCTCTTCTCAAAGAAGAACTGTAATGAACTGTCTGCAGACCAGACATACTTACTTTGTAAAAATAAATGGGATAAGGTGGCCAACATGCATTGCCTCAGATGAGGGACCTCTGCCTGTGTAAAGGTAAAACGGCTTCTTATTTTCATACGAATCAAGTATTTGGTGCATATCTCTGGAGAAAAGAAAAGATGTATGGTATACCTTTTGAAAAAAGAGCCTGATCATGTGAAGAACAAAAAGAGAACAAGAGTCAAGAGAAATAGGGATGACATTTTTTGTAACTCTAACATTTCCCTTAAAATACAAAGGATAGCTTTTATCATGATAGTTGTACAAAGGTGTGGGAAAAAGAAAGGCATTTCAGGTTTGTAATATAAATCACTATATCGGATGCTTCTCTACATTTTCCTCACGAAAGCTAGATTTTGCTCTAGCATTGAGCACCACATAGCACAAGAGGAGAATGTGTGAAAGAGTACACAGAATAGCTCTTTCTTATTTGCAAAGACAAGCAAATACACAAATCAATAAAATTACGCACCTGTGAGAAAAGAAGATGCCTCTGCGTAGGAAGTGATGTGGTTTATGGCCTGTAACTCTCTCTATTCGATTGATGAGGTCTTTATCAATTTTGCTGCTACCAAATCGAACTGAAGACAACCAACAATGGGTAACAAATTGTATTTATCATAGAATTAACAATACAGCTTAGAATCATATGTGCATACACAAAACACACACATCTGGACAGAAGATTAAAGTGGGGAAAATTGTTCAAAATATCTTGGCTAGTCATGTGTTATAGATGCTGAAATGCCTGCATGTGCACAAGCACAAAATTTATACTCTTCTTTATACCCAGATCCTCCTTTCAAACAAAGCTACTTCATCTTCATATTTTAGTAAAAGCTTTTCAATGTATATTTGGACCTTTAGGATGCTTATTCAGGAGCAAGCCCTGCTTAGGTCAATAAGGCCACATTCTTGAGCTAGCATGTTTACAACTGCAGCCCTAGAAACAAAAAATCTTCCACAAATGCTTCTCATTATATCACCTTTTTCTCACTAAGATCTTTGTTCCTTGCCACCTTTCTTGAACCTGGTGTCCTCCAGATGAGTTGGACTACAACTCCCAGCATGCCCCAGGCAGCTATAGTGCCCGGTTGGACAGGCTTTACAGGGGTTACCAAACTTTCTTTTTTAAGGACATATGGATCAAATCCTGCTTTCCAAAGTGGCTAATGGGATGCCTTTAGAAATCACCGTAAGCACAGTTTGAAGACATTCATCTTTCCAATATTCTACTGGTATTCTGCAACTCACGGTCTCATGAAACTGGGTACTGAAAAGGGCTCCTTGAGCCCAGAACTCTGCCATTCTGAGTGCTTTTAATTGATGACAAAAATGTAGCAGACAGCAAATGAACAGAGCCTTCAAGCAAACCTTACGAAGGGGACCAGACACCTGAAGAAGAGTCATGCTGGATCAAAGGCCAATTTACTCAGTATTCTGCTTGGACTGTGGACAACCAGAGGCACCGATAGGGAGCCCACATGTAGGGCTTGAACACAAAAGTACCCTTCTGCTTTGGTGCCCCTACAGCTGGCACACAGATCCTGTAGGCAATATATAGCTGGCAGAGGGAGCGGCCACTGATAGCCTCATCTTGCACACATTTATCTGTGGAACTCGCTGACTCTGGAGGTCAGGCAGGGACTAGCCCTGTATTGTTTTCAGCACTTCCTGAAAACTTCCTTGCTCCAAGAAGTCTTTTCTGACTGACCAGTCATGGTTTTTATTGATAATTCTGTTTTAATATAGTGTTTTATTTTATTGTGTATTTCATGGGAATCTATTTAGGTGTGGAGCAGTATCTAAATGTTGTAAATAAAATAATTAAATAGATAACCTCCCCCAAGCCGTCTGTGTTGGTGGCCATCACTACACCTTGTGGCATAAATTCCACAGCTCATGTGCTGTATGAAAAAAGCACTGTGTTTTACTTGTTCTGGATCTCCCAACATTCAGCTTCATGGGATGCCCTCTATGGGGTCTAGTATTTCCCCACACACTGCATAATTTTATATGTCATGTTCACTGGATTTCAACTCCCATTAGCATGATCAACAACATCTAAGTAAACTGTAAGCTCCCCACATATGTAAATTGCACTTTTTTGATAAAATCATTGCTTAAAATGCGGCCAAAGCATCACATACCTATGAGCTTATCATAATCCACCCCCTTTTCATTGGAGGTCTGTACTGTCCAAGGGTCTACAACATCTTCTTCCTCAGCACTGCCTGGACCATTACCAACTGGAGTGAAATCACTTGGAGGAGAACCTGCTTTATACTCTTGGCCTGTTGCTGCTTTGTAGCTCAGTTTTAATGATAATAATAACTTAACTGCTGCATCAATTTCATCCTAGAATAAAATATGAAAAAAACAAAACAGTGCTCATGTTAATAAAATTTAGAGATCTGGCCTTCTAGCTACTTATGTACAGTTAAACAGAATAAGAACTATTTAATATGCCTGAAGAGAAGTGTGCATATTAGTATTCATGAATTATATGCTGGAGGGGAAGGGAGGGGGTGATGAAGTAGCTGGTTACCAAAATACCTTGTAAACAGGCCAAACAACCTGCTTGTGTAACCTTGAGCACGTCATTCAAGGTCTCGGTTTCCCTTTTCCACTTGCAAAACGAGTACAAATATTTACCTATCTCTACTGGCATTATTGGCCCCTTCCAGCTCTACTATTCTATGAGTGTATACGCAATTTACATCACATTATGTGTGCTTTATAGTTCCCCTTCAGACATTTCAGGACAAAAGCTTAAGATGGGGGTCCTCAAACTTTTTGAATAGGGAGCCAGTTGAAAGACTGAGGTGGGGGTGCCTGGGGTGCAGGCTGGTGAGGTGCCATCGGGTGCGCATGAGGCGGCATCAGGCATGCATGGCGGCGGCTTGCTCGCTCAGAGACCATCTCCAGGGAGTTTGAGGACCCATGGCTTAAGATGCCTTTTGGAGGAAAAATAACCTGGGGTACTTCTTTTAGCTGTATTTACCAAATGCAAGACAAACAAGCACACTAAACTAAATCACACACTCTAGTGCATCAGAAAATTTTCCAGTGCAAATTCCCACCACCCCTGAGGCATTTTACTCTATGTACATTTTCCATAATTTTTTCAAATTCAAATATTCTAGTAAGTCCATTATCATTAAGTGGAGCGTTGGATGCCAGTAACCTGAAAATACGTGGATTGCTTTCAAGGAGCAGTACCCAATGGTTATAAGAGAGGTTCAGCAACTAGTAGCCCAAGGCTGTAGTCCTAAGCATATATGTTTGAAAATAAGTTGAATTAAAATTAGTGATGCTGACTTCCAAATATAAAAGTTTTTAAACTATTATGTATTTAGTGCTGTTGGTACATATTACACAATACAGAGTAATGTTAGCAAAAAGACAGGTACGTGCCCCAGTGAGCTTCTAATCTCCATTTTCGCAAAGGTAGCTACAACAGAGGAGTAGAGAATAGGTGTAGCTGCATGTATTTGGGTTTAATTCTGTAGCAGAGGAAAACCAAAGGACAAAGCCTTTGTGGGAAAATTGAGTTTTGAGGAGGGATTTGATGAATGAGACAGGCACTTAAGATTAATACTTTCACCACATCTTTAATCTGAATGCCTTTAAGAACATTTTTGCTTTAAAGCAGAACCGCAGGCGTGCTCGGGGGGCGGGGAGACTGGCGTGATCTCAGGTGAGCTGGGGGGGTGGCGAGGCGGCACGTGTGCGCATGGCAGCAGCTTGCTTGCTCAGAGGAAAAGTGCAGGGCATTCTATACATGGGGCGTCTTATAGATGGAAAAATATGGTATTCCTTCCTGTCACAAGAGAGGAGGAGGAGTGCCTTGTTCAAGATGGTGCCACCACACTGTGGCTTTTCTAGGTTCTAACATCGGGCTACAACCCATATGGTACAAGGGAACTTGACTTGTGCAGGGAGCTTCCCCTTATGTCCCCTTCCTGCACTTCCCAAATCTGCTCTGAAGGCTCCTCCAAGCCATGAATTGGACTCCACAGTTGATATGATCCTGGAATGGGAGGTGTCCAAAGTGCCATCTGGTCTGCCTTTGCTGGGTAGGTTTTAATTATTGTGGCCTGAAGATGTGGACAAGTCCAACCCACCACCTGTTTACTTGACCCTTGTCCTTCATGGCTGCTCACCACAGTCAAGGACAGGATGTGTTCCTTGGGTCCAGGAAGTAGTTAATGCCTCTCTAAGGAAGGGTCAGGTCCCCACACCCTTGAAGAAGTGGTGATCAGACCCATCCTGAAACGGGCAACCCTGGACCCAGAGATTGCCTCCAACTATAGACCAGTGGCTAACATCCCGTTCTTAGGCAAGGTGCCTGAGCGGGTGGTGGCCAGGCAACTCCAAGCTCTCTTGGAGGAAACTGATAATCTGGACCGATTTCAGACTAGATTCAGACCTGGCTATGGGACTGAAATTGCCTTGGTTGCCGTGTATGATGAACTGTGCAGGGAGAGGGACAGGGGGAGTGTGTCCCTCTTGGTTCTCCTGGACATCTCAGTGACTTTCAATACCATCGACCATGGTATCCTGAATAGACTGGCAGAATTGGGGGTTGGAGGCACTGCTCTACAGTGGTTCTGCTCCTACTTGGTGGCCCAATTCCAGAAGGTGGTGTTGGGGGGATTATGGCTCTGTGCCATGACAGTTATGCCATGGAGTTTCACATGGTTCCATTTTATCCCCCATGCTGTTCAATATCTACATGAAACCACTGGGAGAGGTCATCTGGGGTTTTGGGCTGAGGAGTCATCAATATGCTAATGACATCCAGCTCTATCTCTTTTACATCTGATCGAGGTGAGGCAGTGGATGTCCTTAACCAGTGTCTGGCTGGAGTGATGGGCTGGATGAGGGCCAATACATTGAGACTTAATCCAGACAAGATGGAGGTCCTGTGGGTAGCTGGTTCAACTCTTCAGGCAAGTGATCATTGGCCTGTTCTGGATACTTGCGCTCCTCCTAAGCGGCAGGGTGCATAGTTTAGGAATGCTCCTCGATGCAGAGTTATCCCTGGAGTTCCAAGTGACTTCTGTGGTGAGGAGAGTTTTCCTTCAGCTTCGGCTGATCCATCAACTATACCCTTACTTGAATAAACAGCTTAGGACCTGGATGTTTGAAGGAGTGCCTCCTGGCCTGTATGATCTGGAGGAGAGGTCCTTCTTCAGGAGCCCTCTTTGGGGGAGATCAGAAGAGTGCCTACCCAGAGAGGAGCCATCTCTGTGGTGGCGGCCTGGCTATGGCATGGGCTCCCCAGAGAGGTATATCTGGCGCCAACGCTTTTTTTCATTTTGGTGCCAGACCAAACCCTTTTTATTTTCCCAGTATTTTAAATGTTTTTAACATTGATTTTATATATTATTGTGATGCTGTGTCTTATTTATTTATGCTATCTCTGCCCTGAGACGCTGTGAAGGGCGGGATACAAAAGTTTTAAATAAATATAAATAAACCCTTCCAGAACAACTTTGGGAGGCATATGGGGGGCTGCAGGGAATCTGCTTGCAAGCAGTGTACATTTTTCCAGCACGTGGGCACTGTTTGATATAGTCCATTAAAAACAGTGTTGTCCAATCCACTGGGGGTATGCTTTTAATGAATTATATTGTTTTAGGGTGCGGTCCTATAGGTTGCACCATCAAAGATTGTAAGGCCCTCCTAGGCAGGGTGGAAGGAGTAGCAGAGGTGATCTGGCCACTGGATGAACACAAAATAAGTGAAAGTATTTAAGTATTCGAGAGTGGTTTATTCAGAAACAACCTCTTGGAATGTACACTTATCAAATATTAACTTTCAAGCTTTTAAACCAGCCAAAGCCATTCTGCAGTTTGCTATCCTTAAAAGTAGAAAATCGGTAAATCTAGCTTTCTCTCTTTCTAATGCCAAAACAATGGCTCAAACTCTATGTGGGGCAGAGGTCTGAGGGATCTCAAAGATTTCAGATTCAGAATCCATGCAGAATTACTTCTTAAAAGATCTGAGAGATTTACCTAAAGATGTTCTATCTGCTATGGCTACATTAAAGACCTATATATTGAATAGGCAGAGTCAAATAGATGAAAGAAGTTTATGTTACTAGTTTAAGGTGCAACAGATAGACAACATTAGAGCACCTAAAATGTCTGATTGAAATGACCTATGAATTTCCTGTTAATGACTGGGTATATCATGCTGCTCAACCTCAGGTTAAATATGGTCTCTTACTGATTCATCATACAGAAATTTCATTAGACATATGGAAAAATGTCCTTCAGGGATAAACAAAGGAGGTTGCTTCTAAAAACCACATTATACTGTAAATGCAAAGAGGCTCAAGAACACATGGATTAATTAACATCTGCACAACTGAGTTATGATAGTGTTATGATTAAATATGACAGGAATCATTTATAGAGATGGAAAGCACAGAGGTATCCAGGTACATGAGTGTACCTGTATTGGTGCTTGCCCTGAGCCAGAGGATCTTGTTTGTTTCATTTTATGCTGACCCCTATACAAAGAGACACTTAACTTTAAATTTTTCTAGTCAGTCTCTTGGATATGATTTTTTAAAATCTTTTAATAGGCATAGATAAATATATGACCTGGCATGTAGCTCTCCTTGAAACTGTTGCCAAGAAGTTTAGGAATAAATATATAGCAGACATACTGATCAATTTGAAAAAAGATGATTTTATTTACTATATATGGATTAATGGTATTTCTTAGATTTTTCAAGTCTATTTGCTATATGCATTATGTCTACCTTTGGTATTTTAATGGGTTTGTATTAATTTTATGCAAAGGCCATTGGCTAAAAGCAATAAAATATGATAATGATGTTGCCCAATTCACAAGAGGCAAAGGTGATCTTTGCCTCCCCATGTTCCCATCTGGCATTCTTCACTAGAAAGGGTTCTTTCCCATCTAGAGAAGGTATGTTAGAGGGTAGAAAAGTATATTGGCAGAGGCTCAGGAAAACTCACACCCTTGCCTCTCCATCCAGGTCCACCAAAAATATTGCTTTTCTTCCTCTTTGAGGTAATTTCTCTAACCACTGCAGCATAGCCAGTGTGCTTCCTGCCACAACAGCTGTGAGTGGGAAGGGGGATTAGATCTCCAATTCTTTCTTCTAAGTTTGGAGCACTATCTCTGGCCTCAAAGCTGGAAATTCAAACTTCCTGATCCCCCATGCTTTCTAGGGGCCACTGGACTGCTCTTTCAAATTCAATTAACTGAATCCATCAATAATGTAAACACTGCAAACTCTGGAAATAAACTCTAGAACAGAAAAAGGGAAAGCAACATTGGCCAGGACTGGGGAGAAAGGTGGTAATTCATGGCAGGTCTTGGCCATATAAATGCTTTGGCATATGGATCTCTTTTCCTGAATCTTCCTGCAAGAAATCACGTGTACATCCCACCAGATGGCATCCTGAGCAAATTTCCTGAAGATTCTTAATTTGATTCATTTCTATTTCATTCAATCTATGTGTAGAACTGGTAGTATTAAAATAACATACTTCTCTAAAGTATGAGAAGGCAAACAGATATAGATAAGGGAGAAAATCAATGGGCGAACAAAACATTGGGTTGGATCCAAAATTCTTGTGAAAGGAATTCTGGTGAAAAGACACTCCTGCTGGAAAAACAGGGATGGAGATGATTTCCACTGCAAAGCTGGTCTTGTGGCTTAGTGGAACTTCTAGAACAGTTTGGGAGGTGGTGTGGGAATCGCAGGGGGAAGTAAATGAAAACTGCCTTGTCTGCCTTCCTCTATTGCAGGGGTCGGCAACCTTTAACACTCAAAGAGCCATTTGGACCTGTTTCCCACCCAAAAGAAAACACCGGGAGCTGCAAAACCCTTTTGACATCTAAAATGAAGAATACACTGCATATATTTTTTACCTTAATGCTATGTATATCTTCATTATGATTTAGCTGCAGCTCTTGTTCAGTCACTAAAAACGGTTATTTTTAATCTTACATTATAAACTAGGAGGACTCCTTTCATATATTTTGAATAGGAGAACAGCTTCCTGAAGAGTCAAAGTCAGTGCTAAAGGGCTGCATGCATTAAACAGCAAACCCCGTAAGTTCGCCAGCAGTAAAAGCAAATGAATCTACCCACGTATCATTAAACTTTTGGTTTTCTTCAGAAACTTCTTTTCTTTGATTTATTCATGGTTGGCTTATGGGCGGGGGGGAGCTCAGTAAATCGGGGAGGGTCTGCATATCAGTGGCTGTGCCGGAGATGAAAAGAGAATCTTTTCAGTAGCATTTTGTTTCGTGTAACATGAGAGCCTGCAGGAAGCTTGTTTAGCAGAGGAATGTAGCGATTTACTTAACTAGCTGATTTACTTAACTAGCTAGCACTGAGTTCCTGAGTGGAGCTTCGAGCAGATCAGCGGCTGTGCCGGCGGGGTGTGTTTTGAGCAACGGAGCCACAGCAGAGGGGTTCAAGATCCACGTGTGGCTCTGGAGCCGCAGGCTGCCGACTCCTGCTCTAGTGGGAAACTGTTGACTCTCAATCCCGTCCAAGAATGGAGTTTTTCCATTTGTGGAAGCAACATTCTAGCTCCAACCTCCTATGTATAATTCCCAACTGGGGAATGTAGTAAATATAATTTGTGTTGGATCAGTACACTAAAAATGTAAGAAGCCTGTAGATTGGTTTTCTTTAACCTTCTACCCTTCAGATATTTTGAAGTTCAACTCCCAGATTTCTTGATCACTTGCCATGGTAGGTGGGGCTGACAAGAGTTGAAGGAGACTTGGCTTAGGAAGGCCGTGGTAGGTAATATATGAGACTGCAGAGCTTTAGTTTTATTATTATTATTATTATTATTATTATTATTATTATTATTACTATTATTATGTTTTTAAAAGAAGTTCGTATAACTGGATTCTACAGAAGGAATGCTCTTACTGGGATATTAAAAAAACATTGATAAAAGTGCAGCAAATGAAATTTTACCTTTGGTGCTTTTTCAGCTTTTAATGACCTAACTTTTTCTCCCTGTGCAGTTACTTCTTCAAAGAGTTGAAGTGGACTGAGAGAGCAAAAGCCATCATTCTGAACATCAGCCATTCTCAGGAGTGTGGAGGATCTTTTGTATTCACAGTTTTAAAGTGCGTCTTTTAACTTCCTTTTATCCAGAAATATCAAAACAGGTTGGAGGACTCTGGAAGATAAGAGATGTTGCCAGTTTTCATTTTCTATTCTTATCAACACTGCATTGTTCAAACATTATTCTTATGCACAAACACATGGAATGGATATAAATTCAGGTTGCGTTTTATAGTTTAATTGTTATGAACAATCCAAAGAGCTTTGGCTATTGGACAGAATCAAAATGTAATAAAGAAATAAGCTTGGCATATTATGGGGTAGAAATTGTATCCATATTCATGATCATACTTCCTCAAATTCTGACTTTTCTACAGAGCTCAGATATTGGAACTGTATTCTTCCCTAGTAAGCTTTCATTACTGATTTCTGCTGAATATTCAAAAATTCACAGGGGTCTATTGTTTTCTTGAGAATTCAGTTTTAGTCATCAATATGCCATCTTTATGGCACTAAATGCTTTGCAGTAGCCAACTGAGTTTAAGCAAAAATTTATGTAATGGCTCTTCCTCTTCCACCATCACCACCAATGCACTAAAAATCTATTCTCACAACATCTATTTTCAGTTCCAATCACTGCTAGAATTTTTCTGCCAGTCATTTTGATGCCATTTTACCTGTTCAAGAAATCAGAGAAACAGAAAACTTACCTATACTATGCCTACTTCTGGAATGAAGAAAAGAGAAGGTACATTTGCAATTTTTAGCCCTATTTTGTCTTTCAGATGGGCTCACTAAACTGATGAAAAATGCTGATCACTATCACTAATATTTCTGCCAAGCTCAGATGGTACGTTAGCTTTTGGACGCTTTTATTTCTTTCTCCTTTCACTGCCTGTTTCTTCCAATGGGTAATGTGATTAAGGTTGATTACACTGCTGAAAAGAACCAAATGTGGATCCCCTTCTTAAAACACACATCTTATTCTAAAGCAAGACAGAGCATTAAATACAACTAACTCTGAAGTATCATTTGCAGATACCTTATACTTGATTCCCTGAAATTTTACAAACAGAGAGTCTACAGTTGTCTTCCTCAAGACATCCTCCAGATGTGTTGCACTACAATTCCCACCATCTATAAGAGGGACTTTGCTCAGGGGTATAGCACATTCATTGTATGTAGACATCCCAGGTTCGATCCCTGGCATCTCTGGGCAAGTCTAGAAAAAAGTCTTCCTGAAACCTTGGAAAGCTGCTGCCAGTCAGTGTTGACAATAGTGGGCTAGGTGGGTAAGTGGTCCAAGTCACTGTAAGGCAGCTTTATAGGGATTAGGCTCATTTCTCCCAAAATACAGCATTCCAAGGCAGATATCTCAGACTCTGAATCTGACCTGGAAGAGGAGGCAATGTAAGAATAGTTAGAAATGCCAAGCCCAGGAAGCCTTGAGCTAAGCCAAGCTGCTAGTGAGAACCAGATTCCTTCTGGTTCAGGAGGAGACACTGTAAACAGGGAAGGTCAGAAGGGGAGGGGTGTGACTTGATCAGTCCAGATGCCTGATGCCAGGCCAAGAGAGGCAACTAACTAAGTAATGTCCAGTATTCTTACTGTCTGAACCTCCCTGACAGTGGCGCTCACTCTGTTTGGTAGGGAAGGGAGGAGTGAGATTCAGTTTGGAATGAACTTCTAACATGGACAGAACTCAATCCACAATTAGCAGGCTCATTAACTTGATGGATGTATCTTGCTAATAACTTTAACATTACCGTGTTTCACAAAGCCAATCCTGGCTGGCCTTACGTAATTAAATACTGTAGTTAACATAATTAAATACTGTAGTTAGAAACATCTCTTCTTGATCTGCTGGGAAGGGAAGGAGAGAGTTTGGGGGAACAGAGACCAGCTCACAACATGCTTTCCATATACCTATTCTCATTGGATAAGCTAGTTGTGTGTAGTGAAAATTGTCATCCAACAATTCTGGAGAATTCCATATTGGGGAAGGGTATTCTTCCTCTCCGTAAGCAACTTGCTCTATCCCTGAACTGACTGAAAATTAATTTTTAACACATACAAGTTGATAATCTGGAAAACTGAAAGCTTATCTATAAAGGAAGCAATTTAACTGCACAGATGTTCACATTCTCTTGCTCCTCTTTAAACAAAATAGTACCTTAGATTATTCTTTACAGAACAAAAAATTGACTTTTTAAAGCTTATAAGATAAAGAGATTTGCATTAGCTTTGTACATCAGTTCATTAGATAAATCAATAAATGCTGAGTTGACAAAGTATTACAAGGTATAATTAAATTGGGAACAAAAGATAATCCTCCATTCTTCTATAGGGAGACAAAAGTAGCAGTATTTTTCATGCAGTGTGCTGGGTAGCCCTGGGGCTCTTTTGAAGCTTATCAGAAACTCAATTTGAAAAATCAATAAAAGTCAAGAAGCGCCCCAAAAATACAACTTCCCCTGTTATCATTCCCTGCAATATGTAACAATAGTAGGGGACTGGGGATCTTTCCAGTTTATGTGATACAAACCCTAGAACTCTCAGAATCTTCTGTGAGGCTCATGGCAAGTGTGTAGGGCAGGGGTCTCAAACTCGTGGCCTGCAGGCCAATTGCCGGGACGGGCAGGGCATGGGGGAGGGGCTCTGTGGCCTTCAAAGTGCTGGCGGCGCCCGGGCCGGCCGTGGGATGAGCGGCCCACCACCACTGCGGCGGTGGAATACTTGATGCGGCCCAGCCTCACCCAGACTCTACTTCCAGCGGCCCCCAGGTAAGTTGAGTTTGAGACCCCTGGTGTAGGGTTTATGCAAATGTGTGTTAGCAAATAAATTGTTGTTAAAAGGGTTCCTGGTGGCCTCAGTATCAGAAACCTACAGTGCTCACACAGATAGCCATCTACCATATATCTTCAGAGGTCTGTTGTGATTGCTGAGGCCAATTTTCATCACCAACCACTCCCTGCCAGAAAGGCAAGGAGGAAAGCAAAAAGCAGATCAGTCTCTCAAGGTTTAACATACATAGCCAGCCAATGCTGTCCAGTAGATAAGAAGAAAAGCTTGGACATGGGAAATACAAGTTATAATAAGACTGAGTGTTCATACTGCTAACTATTAGCAACTTTCATACATTATCTTAAAGGTCAGTATTACCATCCCCTTATTTCAGTTGAGCGGGGAAGGACCAAGGGTCAGAGGTAATGAGCTGGCTAAGCCTACTTAGAGTGCAATCCTCTGCATGTTTAGACAGAAAAAAGTCCTACATCTCTCAGCATCCAATGTTGTAGACCCTTTTTATATCCAAATATGCATAGGACTGTGCTTTTAGTGATTTTATGGAAGAGGCACATTTTAAACCTAGGATTTTGTAGCACACAACTCAGTCTGTAAGGGATGCTTCATTCTTTCCTCAACAAAAATGACTAGTGTATACTGTTATTTCCTTCAGCAAACATGTAAAGTCTGTTTGACACGTGTATGTTATTAAAAACCTAAGAACTGGGAACCCATGCTGGAGGAAGGATGATACACCTCAACCCAGATGTTCTGAGTCAGCACACCCAGAAGAAATAGTTTGCTGCCTGATGACCCTTCATTATAAAATAAGGGTAATGAAAATGAGACACTGCCTTATTGTGAGTCAGACCATCAATCTAATTGGCTCAGTATTGTCTACACTGACTTTCAGAAGCTTTCCAGGATCTGAGGGAGGAAACTCTTTCCCAGCCTGGATGCAGGAGCTTTGACCACCAAGAAGGTGCTTTCATGAAGAAAGCCCTAAATTCAGTTCTTTGCATTGTCCTCTTCCAACTAACAGGTGATGGGAAAGAGATCCTAGAGAAATCCTGTAAGTTCCAATAGACAGCACTGAGGTAGACAGACAAACTATGCTTCCTATGTTCCTTGAGTCCATGACAGTCCCTCCTGTTCCCTCTCCCTCTGGAAGGCGAGACTGGAACTTGATCTTTATCACCATCTATTAGAAGGTTGAAAAGTGAAGGGAAAAAACAACAAGGCAGTAAAATTCTAATGTGAAATCATGGCAGTTAATTTACCTACTGATCAGGAAGCATCTGATGTGAATTTTGCTTCTGCCATGACATCACCAGGCAAACCTTTTTACTTCTGTCAAATTCAGTCTCCCCAGCCCCACACGAGACACATCTGCAATCATAAGACTGACTTACCTATAGGGCTATTGTAAGGACACCCAGGTAACACATGCGAAGTGGTTTGAACATTCTGAAAATTCTATGCAGGTATCAGGCATCATCAGCGTGGATTACAGTGGTCTGTGCATGCGTGCGTGGATGGCCATAAGCCTCACGGAGGGATAAAGAAATCAGTACAATGTTTGACACAGGCAAAAGAGGTGACCATGTTCCTCTAGGCGGGGTGTGCGGAAACCGACAGTTTCATATGAAACCAGCCTTCTTCCCCTCCGTGTAAGTCAGCCTTCCATGTGTGCCGGAAAGGTATCATTTCCAAGGCTGGTTGGGGATGATGGGATCTGTAGTCCCGACACGCGTAGAAGGCGCTGGATTAACAAGGCTTGTGCAAGAGAATCCTCCACTGGGACTCACCACCATAGCCGGGCAGGCTGCTTCTCTCATGCCGACAAGCGGCATCTCAAAGAGAGGAAGCAGGCTGAACTGATCTGGGGACGGGGGACCTCCCGACCTACCCTGCCCTCAGTCCTTCCTTCCTTCCACTCCCCGCCAGAGCTCCTTACTTGTCTGCGGAACCGGCCGCTTCTTTCTGCGCCTCTCCGACGAGCCAGCCTTGCATCAGCAAGCCGAAGCCGGTGCGTCACTCATCGCCTTCCGATCAGGAACGCGCTCCCGGGCCGGAACCGACGACTACGGAGAGGTGGAGACCAAGGAGAGAAAGCCAATCGCACGGCTACGCGGGGGAAGGCCTGGCAGGAGAGCCGCGTGTCGTCAGGCGAAGGTGATGAGGGTGGTGGGAGGGGGCAGCGGTGGCGCTGCGCAGGTCAAGGCAGCTTAGGGTAGGAACGGCGGTGGCTGGCTCGCATTTCCCGGGGAGGCAGTGTCCCAGCGTGACTCGCCTACGACGCAGGCAGCGCTGAAGCAGCGCGAGCGGAGGCGGCGTGGGGAAGTGTTTCTGTGAAATGGGTCCCCCAGCAGGCACCCCGGTTTAGGTCCTTCTCCCTTGTTTCTTGTAAAGCTTTATTGGGTGAGAGGTAAGAGCTGCTCCTGAGGGCCCTGTTTTCTTGGCCCGGTGAATTTCGAGCGCAAGAGCTGCCCCCGCCCGTGCGAGGTGGACAGAGGTTTCCTTAAGCACATTCTCCACCTGTCCCTTTTTCATAGGTATAAGGGCGGCCAGATACCGAAGAACACAGGGTTCCAGCACTTTCAATAGCTGTTTATTTTTTATTTTTTTAAAATTAAACTACACAATAGCTGTGTAGAGGAGGGGCGTCCATCACATGGAGCTTGCAGGACAAATTAATACGTTTAAATAAAATGAACAGATCGATTCTTGAATTTACCTTTCTAAATCCAGCGTGTATGCAATCAATTCGCTTGAGTCTGTTTATACCTCTTCCCTAGCTTTATATCCGCTTTCAGGGGTTGTATTTAATGTTTCTCCAACTTAAATGAATGGAGCTTAAGTTAGTGACATTTGGATGCAAGCATGGAAAACTAAATGTAGTGTCAGCACATAGACACAAGCTTGTGACTGGGTAATCCATTAGAACTTGACAGCTCAGAGGTTCTGTGATTCACTATTGGCACTACAAGGGCTTGCATTTTTTTTTGCATAAAATGCTGTATAATTATCAGTTATCTTGGGAACAGCATTGTAGGTCATTGTAATGTACAAAGCTTGTTACTGTTAACTGAGTAATGCTTACCAGAGGTAATTTAAGTGTTTACTTTTGAACACTGATGTTGAATGATGAAGATATGCCTAAATAAGAAAGCCTATTAGGTTTCTTTGATTTAAAATTGAGTTATTTAAAGTGAATTTTCTTACAATGTCAGTTCCTTTCATTGCAGAAACTTGTTGCTGCTCATAAGGATCTAAAGACAGAAGTTAGAGAATTTTTATTATAGCTGGTTCAATGAACTCGCTTGTTGCTTATGATGACTCGGACTCTGAGACAGAGGATGGAAAGTCTGAAGATGTTACTAGCAGCGAAAAGAATCTAACATATTCCGCTGTGGGTGCTGTTCAGCCTTATGGTGGATCAGAATTAGTTTCTGATAGCAAAATCCAACCTGTGGAATGCATGGGTAATTTCAGAAGAAATGTGTTTCATGAAGTTCTCCCTCTTCAGCACTCTAAGGCTTATAAAAAGTCAATGGTAACACATCCCAAAGAGTTATACCCTGTTACTTTGAAAATAGCAAGCAGTCATCCTAACCAGTTATTGAGCCCTGTGCCGAAACCTAAAATAACTTCTGAAAAAGAGGGTAGCTCACAGAAGAGAGCTTGTGGTGGCACCGATGTTACCATACAAGGACTAAGACCATATGTTCCTAAGAGACTGCGACAGGAAAATAAGTCAGTTCATGAAGCAAAGGCCTGTGAAGGGAGCACAAGTTGTACAACCAAGCTTGGTACAGCAGATGATCAAATAGCCATTAAACATTCCCAGTATATTATGCCATACATAGGATCCAAGTATGGAGTTACTGAAATTCCTAGGAACTTGGTGTTTCAAATGTCTGATCACAGCGGTCCAGTCAATGTCGTCCGATGGTGCCCAGTGGAGAGCTGGAGCCACATGCTGCTCTCTGCATCTATGGATAGCACTGTCAAGGTAATGCGCTAGAGAATGAATGCGGTGTGTGTCATGCCCTCTGAATAAAAATGATTTAATACTTTTAATGGAGGAAAACAAGTGCTTCTGAAATCCATAATGTGCCCCTATGAGCCGTGACTGCTTGCATTTGGCTCAGTATTGATGAATACTATGAACTCCTGTCCTTGTCTATGGAAGTGAGCTCCTGAAATTGAGAGGAGGGAAGGGTGACTGACTCTGCTGATATCTGACACCAGTAATAGTAGTTCAGAAGGAAAGTGTTGATGGGGCTAGAGACGGGAATTGTGGGGCAGTACAGCTCCTTTCCATCCTTGCTTTGAAAAACATTTTTTCCCAGTGTACTTTTTGCACTTTTTCTGGGGGAATCCAGAAACAGTTTTGAATTTGCAAAGTATCAAGTCAGGGTTCAGAGGGATTGAATGTAACATCTGTGTTATCGCTGACAGAGGAAACACAGTTCCCTAAGTACACCCTTGCCCAAAGCTGACACAAGAGAGGGCTCAGCTCTTGCATGTTAGTCTCCTCAGATAAACTTGTCTGATTTGGAGGTACAGATGGAGAAGCAGAGGAGGGCTTTGCAGTTTCAAGGTTACCAAAAGAGGATACTCAGAGCATCAGAACCAGCCCACTTTGAAAAAGAAGGGAGACATTTCAGAATTGGGTGGGAAGGAGCTTGAGAGGGGTCCCTTGACCCTTTAAGGGGGAAAAATGGGGAACTCAGACTCCCGAGACCTGAGTTTAACTTGTCTCTCAAGTTGTGTATACCCTGGAGGAATGACCTTGTGTAGTCTCCATTCCTCAACTGTAAAATGGGCACAACAGCAATAGTTCACAGATTACTATGATTGGGATGGAGTTGAGTTTTAAATGGTTGTTTAGGGTCTGTTTTAAATGGTTACCTGAATAGACTTTAGCTGGTGGCTGTGATTAAAATACACTTAGAGCTCAAGCTGAGGCATGGTTACTCAGCTGTAAATTTCATGGGAGCACAGTGGGGCAGGCATCATGTAAGCATGCAGTTATTATTACCTAATTAAATTACAGAAGTGTCTTTACACTGAAAGGGGTGTTTTGTTTCTTCTTCAAGCCGCAGCAGTGTCTAGCCAGTGCAAAGCTTTTTCCTAGCTCTGCTACTTGGTAACTTTTAATTGATTATGGCAGGATTTGAACCTGGAACCATCAATGTAGATGAATTAACAACCTGAGACTATTTTAAAAGGGGATTGGAATTTGTAGCTGAAATGCCTGGTGCAACAGGCCCACAGATAAACCAAGAGACTGGTGAGCAACAGACCATATCTGTTTCATTTAAACACATGGAGTTGGATGAGGGGCAGACTTAAATGTATTAGTCTGAGTCAAATGAGGACATCAAATGAAAAAGGCAGACCAACAGAGTAGTGCCAGATATTCTAGCTGACTGGTCTACAAGTACAAGTGAACCATTCTGAAAGTGGAGTCAACTCCTTTTGAATGGGAAGGGAGAAGAAGTATTCAGCTTCGAATCAACTTTTTATTAGGCAGCATTTTTCTAGTATTCTAATTTTGCTGGTGTCTTTTGCTAATGACTTTTGTAGTACTCTTCTTTTGTGCCACTAAGCTAGGCTGGCTTTAGCATAATAAAGATTTTATCTGCTTGGAAGGGGTAGGGTGGGGAAAGACCTGTTGGTGAGAGAAAGTGGTAAATAGTTCATCTTGTAAGGTCTCATGAAGCCACCAAAGGGCAAGATATCAAGTATGCATTAATGCCATGGTAAACTCAGAGGCCTCTTTAGTAAGAGAATATATTCCCTGTGATACTGATTAGCTAATGCCTTCTAGCCTTTACCTTGAATGAGGTTTAGTTCTTAAATATGGATTCTGTTTTCTTACAAGAAGTTGCACAGGGCAAGTCAGCCCTGACACTGCAGACAGTATTTGTGACTGTTTTGCTGCTTTTACTAGGGCAGAGTAATGCACCCATATTCCTTGTGGACTGTTCCGTAATGTTTTAAAATAATCCTTATCAGCACAACACTACATGCCTTGAGCCACCAGGTAAAGGTGATAAGGGAAGCCTTGCAACTTAAAACCATAGCATGAAATGACACAAGGAATCAGATCATCAAAGTTTCTCAGTTCATATTAAGGTAGATCTTGATAGCCCTTGTACCATCCTGAGGAGACATTTATTGCAATCTTTAAGTCTACATTATTTCTATCTAAGCTCTGTAGCTGTGGTTGGTTATAAAAGTAAAGAGGTGCTTTATAATGAGTTACATCTTTGTTCCATCTGGCCCAGTAGTTTCTATTCTGATTAGGGATTACGAAAATATTATTTCTGTTTGAAAACGATCAGAGCTTGCCCCATTTGTATTTTTGAATGTGAATGGGATTGCATTTTTGAGAGGGGACACTTTTGAACTTGTGTTATATATGAAAATGATTTGAAAGTTTTTAAAAATGTTCTTTAAAATGTTCCTTTTAAAGAAAAATGCACACTTCCATACTTTAGTCAATGGGAAAAAAATACATACCTTTGAAACTGAGCTTTGAGGGATTTGGACAACCTTGGGGAACTTGGGCATCCCTAATTCTCCTATCTCTTTTCCATCCAGCCAAATTAATTTCTATTCTGATTGGCAGTAGCTTTCCCAAGTTGCTGAAGCAATTTCTAATTTCTACCATCCTGCATGCTGCAGTCATTTCATATTGTAGTTCATAGCCCTCACAGGCACCTAGCACACCTTTTTCCATCCCCGTTGCTTCTCCCAAATCCCCTGTCCCTGCATTGTAAATGTGGGAGTAAACATAGCCCACTGAAAGACTTGCTGTGCTCACTCATGTGTTGAAACAGCTGCTCCTCAAAATTGAGGACTGAAGGAATTACTAAAAGAGAAAAGAAAAGATCTCACCATACGGAGTAATACACAAGTCCTAATTTGGCTCTGACTTTTTGTGACCTATTATAGGCTGTAATTTTCATGAAAGCACCTTTCTTTGCATTGATTTTAAATGACTGCTCATACATTAGCCTTGTAATTAGACCACTTAAATGCTTCTTAGGTTTAATGTAATGATGTTTGCTATGCAATACAAGGTTTTCGTGGAAGACTTCTATGGTATCCTGCTGCTAATTCTAGTTCTTCACATGTTCAGGTGAGTATGATGTGTTTTCCACTCCCTAATGTCTCATTTGTAACTTTTGTGAAAGCCTAAGAGGTTTTTGCAAAAGGATATAAGTATCACTTTTTTGTTTGATCAAAGTAAGACTTTGCTTTCCCTTTCTACTTTTCAGTTAGTCAATTAACTGGAGAGAGGAAATAGTGAGAACAGAAGCCACAAACACCAGCTTCTCAGTGTAATGATAGATTTCTAAGAAATGATACTGTTTCTGAAATCCTGGCATGAGCGACTTTTTTTTTTTGTAGTGGTCTTAGTAGCAAAATTATGTTTCCTCCCATAGTTGGGACATGTGGAATAATTATTTCAAATTCCTTGTCCTTTGGTAGCTGGTAAATTTGTTTTAAAAGCAAAAGGCAGCAAGAAGCATGCCTCTGAACAGTGAAGCTGTGATTTCTGTCCTAAATTCACTAATTCTTAGCCTAATTTCAAAACCCCTTGGTAAGTGATACCTTCAGACTTCTATCGGTCTGTCCCTTCCCTGGCAGACAGCTGGTAAAAAAGGGGGGGAGGCGAAAGGAGGTGACAGAAAATGCAAGAATGAAGTGGTATCCTGCACTCTTCTGGCTTTTGCCATGTGTGTTGCCAACATGCTACTTGGACAGGTCCCACTTCCTGGAGATCAATTTATTTATATGTATAATTAGTAGAGTTATATCCCACCCCTTTATCCAAAATGGCTCTCTGGGTGGGGTCTAAATCAAACTCTACATGTTTTTAACTCACACAGCTCCTGCAAATAACTTCTCTCTGGCTTTACTTGTTAACAGTGAAGGGATGGACCCAGTTTTCCCTGTTTTTCTCCTGGTATTATGTCTGTATTAAATCCATAATTACACAGAAAGAAGTTGTGACATTCCTGCAATATAGGTCCTTCCTGGTTCTTGAACAACAGACAGCACATAGTCCAAATTTAGCCCACCATGTGCTCTTAATTTCAGCCCAAGACAGCCTCCTTTTAGTTGCGTTCAGCAGGGGAGAAGGGACTCCAGGAGGAGACGCACAGGATATTTCATCAGCATCATTCCTAAAATGTCTCTTTCCTTTACAGGATACACAGTGTCTAGTCTTAGTGGGGATAATCGTCATGGTCTGATTAGTGTTTCCAAACCACTAGTGGGATTGGTGTTAATAGGACCTGCCAGGTCCCAGAGTCTGAATCAGGTGCAATTTTCTTGGAAGATGAGCCTCTTTCTAAATGCTTGCTGAATCCCAGGTGTCACTGGAAAAAATTGAGGTGGTTTTGCAATAACTTGCAGTATGCATGCTTCCTTGTAAAGTCACAGTGATTTTTGCCACTGTGGTAGTGGTAATTGCAGCAGGGATGGGGCAGCCCTTCTGTGCTTTGGGGGAAGGAAATGTGGTCCCCTGACCCCTGGATGTTGCATATCCCTGTACTATAAGGACCCTCAGTTGCTGCTGGCTGGTGCTGGTGTAGCACCTAGCTTATCCAGCTGTTTGTAGCTCTTGCAGCTACTGAGATCCTGGTTTCAGAGCTAGCCTTCTAGCCTAACTGCTCTCCATTCCTCTTGCAGTCTTCTGACTTAAGACCCACAAGCTCCTATATTAGAGGGAATCGGACAGGTGGTCAGATCCAACTGACTTGTACTTCATTTGGTGGGACTTGTACTTCCTTTAGGGGAGTGACTTGCTTACACTTTTTGAGTAGATATGTATGATGTTGGATGTGACTGATGATAGTTTACAATTACATTCTGAAATCCATTAAAAGAAAACTTGCACTGCAAATCATCTTTTGAAATCCATGACTTGTTGGCAACCTAGTTTAATTTTTGTCATTCACTGTTGTGCTTGAACATCAAAATCCCAAGATC